ATCTTTTGGCCTCTGACTTCAAGCTCAGCAATCAACTGGTTCATTTCAGATTCAAATCCCTTGAACATGATACTTTTCTCGCTTTCAATTTTAACAAAGATGTCATTCTTCATCTCTTCTAAATCTTTGGCTCGATCTCTTTCTCTTTGCATTTCATTCATGATTTCACGGTGTTCAGCCTTGTGTTTTATAATTCGCTCTCTTCTGTCAACCTCGAAATCTTCCATTTTTTGCTTTCCTTTTTCCAGGCTTTTGAGTAGACGGCTATTCTTTCCTTTTAGATCTTCAACTCGTCTTTTCTCAATGTTCAATTCTCTGGTCATCTGTACCGTTGATTGGCTGGGTCCTGATACTTTTCGGGATTTATATAACTCCTGATAATCTTTCTGTAAGGCTCTGTACTCATCCTCACCTTTTTCTTTATTTTTTCTCAACATTGCACATTGTGACGAATGAAAGTCAATGTCAACCCCCAACATAACTTTATCTTGTCTCATTTGCTCTAACTCTTTCGACCAACCATCTCTTTCTGCTTCAAACTCAGCTCTCAAGATTTCAATCTCTGATGGAACCACCTTAATGCGATCTTCCATAGGAATATCCTCATTTTGATCTGGTAGAGGAATATTTTCGTTTTTTCTGACAGATCTCCATTTTTCATAATCAGGAGTTAGCATTTCCTTTGCTGCTTTAGCTCGAATACAAAAAAGTTGTTTTCCAAGCTGTAACGGCTTCCATGATATTTCTTTTATAATTTTTGCTGTGAAATGCGAACTCAGATGACTGTAATCCAGCAGTGACAGGTACAAATTGACGACCTTCATACTGTCTTATAACCAGAAGTGGTGCATATCCAATTCCTCCCCATAATCCGAGCAGCATTATCCAGTTGTAATCACCACATTTGTAAATGAATTCCCTTTGTATTTGCCATGGGGCTCGCCAAATAACGTCATTGCTTTGCAGATTTCGAAAGGCATTAATCCACATATCTTTCGTAATTTCTTTCGGCCATTCCTGCTCTAGAAATTCTTTTAATGGTGAATAATCCGTATTAAAGCGTCGGTATGAAACCTTTTCTGTTCTCCAGAAATGACTACGGATCCAAACATATAACAACTGGGTACACCCTGAGAATCGTCCACCTCCTAACCTTCTGCAAGCATTTAATGATCTGAAGGTCTCTGCTAGGATGGCAGAAACAGGATTAATCTTCTTCGGTAGTTGTTCAAACAAGTCTACCACTGCAGCTTCAATATATCCCAATACTTTTGGGAAGATGACCATACCATATATACCCAGAGCAAATAAATCGAATCGTACTTTATTATCTGGATGGCTCTGAATAAGTTCTCTGATGTTGGTCCAAGCAATGCCTTCGCTTTCGCCTTTTTGTTTTGTACGGGATGCTACCCATTCTTCTCGTACCCCGGCAATCTTTGCTAATTTAACTCGAAAGGGTTGAGTTTTAATTGACTTTGAATATATTCGATTCTCCAAAGCACCTTCAAGATGTAACAAAGTTGTATATTCTTCAATAGTAGGGACCAAGTCCTCCTTATTGAAAGTGAAGCAATTGTACCCTGGATTCCAGAATTGAACTAGGGCTCTGAGTAATTCATCATCAACTTCAACATAGAGCAAATATGAGATGTCTCCGTAAGTCTGATAAAACTGCAATTTTTTGTTTGAATCCCAACTTTCCCAAATGCTTCGCAAATCTTGCATATCATTTCTTTTTAGTGAAACTGAAGCATAACTGACCAAGTCAGATACATAATCATCCTGCAGACTGTCTCTCCTTCTTGTCTTTGTAAATCTTCAGCCCACTGTCTTACTTCTGAGTTTAGAATTACTTGACTTGAACACTTTTTATCCATAGATGAAGGCTTTCCAATGAGACAATTAACACAAGGATCAATGTCTTTTATCCTGTATGATGCAATGCAAACAGAAAAATAAAGAACACACAAAAAAGAAAATAAATTAGTTTACATAAAAAATTCAATAATAACATTTATTTAATTTAAACATGCTTTTCTAAATTTAAATAATTTAAATAAACATGTAAAATAAATTAACAGGAAAGACATAATTCATTTCTCCTGTGTGTACACCTATTTTGGACAAAATTTCGGCATGACTTTTGATCGGAAGAGTTTCTAAGGTTTTTTATATGCAAGGTTTCAGATCTAGGAATAAAGGTACCCGAATTGTCTTTGTTAGTGCCCCCTTAGGTTGCTAACCCTCAATCCTAGTCCATTACAGACTAAAGTGGATCGAGTTCAATTCGAGGGGATACATTTCTCTATGCCTGACACGGAGAATAAATTCTCACGAAGACATAGAGCATATGAACCCCGGAAGTTACTTGCTAGGTCTGACACGGAGAATAAATTCTCACGAAGACGTCGCTTTCACTCCCACTTAAAAGGGACAACTCAATTATAGAGCTTTATGTTATGCAATGCAAGTGTTGTGTGTGAGGAGAAATGTTCAAACATTTGAAAAATTTTAATGAAATAAAGTACTTGTAAATAAAATAAAACGTATAGATATTATAATAATAAATACATAAAAAATTTGAAAAGAAAGAATTAAAAATTAAATATATGAATTTTTAATTTTTAATTAATAGAGACAATTTATAATTGATTTTTTAAAAGTTTGACCAGGTCCCCAGCAGAGTCGCCAAGCTGTCGTAACCGGTTTTCGTCCGGGCACGAAATATTAAAATTTGGCGGAGAAATTAACGTTAATAAATAATTTTGAAAATAATTTGTGAGTCGCCATCGACCTTTTGGATCAGGTAGGTCGAATACCTAAAAATTATCTTTTAAAAGAGTTTTTAAGAAAACCATATTTAAAAGATGAACTGATCTGCGTTTTATAACCAAAAATTCATTCTTTTTAATAATAAAAAGGGATCTGTGGTCGGTTACGTTTAAGGAAGGATTAGCACCCTTACAACGCCCAAAATTGGTACTTTTTAATTATAAATTGTCTCTTTTATTAAAATTTAAAAAATTCAAAAATATATTTAATTTATAATCCTATTATTTCAAAATTATATAAAAAATATTTTATTTATTTAAAAATATCCGAAAAGAACTTCTAGGTGCCTTAAGACAGCTCTTTTCTTTGATATTGATAAATATTGATTTAAATAATATTGTTTACTTTTTAATTTTAAAATATCAGAATAAGACATCCAGTTGTATTAAGACTGTCCTTTCCTTCGATATTAAAAATAAATATTTAAAAAAAAACTATTCATATATGTATATTTATGAATATATAAAATATTTAACAATATAAAATAAAATATCACTAAAACAATATATTTTAAGCATTAAAATGAAAACATATAAAATAAATAAAAATAAAACTAAATCTAATTCCTAATTAATAATTAATTGAAATTATAGGGTTTAAATATTTTATTTTCTAATTTAATAATTTAGTGACCAAAAATGAAATTATTTAAAATTAGAATTTTATAATAGAATAAATTAAAAATATGAACTAAGGATAAAAAAAATATTTATTAAAATTAAGGGATTAAATCTGTCATTTATCCTAAATATATTATTTTAATAAAAAGGACTAAAATGAATAAAATTAAAATTCAAAGACTGAATTAAAATTATTATAAATTCAGTTTAGTGACCAAAATGTAAAATTTACAAATACGAAGGACTGCGGAAGGGATTTAACTATTTTGTAATTACGCGCATAGTCCTTCCCGAAACGACGTCGTTCGGGAAGGACTATATATGTCCAAAAACCGGCTGGCCCGAAGGGCCAGCTTCATTTTATCATTTCTGTTCTCTCTCTATCTGAGAGAGAACAAATTTCTCTCTGCCCTCTCTCTAGCTTCCCTCATCGGAGGGAAGCCGGTCACCGGACGGCAACCGTCTGCCGCCGTGACCATCACCGCCGGCCACCGCATCCGGTGGCCGGAAAAAAAGATTTTTACACTAATATATAGATCGGACCGTCCTAAGGACGGTTCCGGTGTTATTTCTTCCTAAAAGGCTCCCAATCGGAGCGAATCTACAAAAGTACCTTCGTTGTTTCGAAGATTCCGGTGAGATCTGGTAGTCGGGGCTTCCTCGGTAAGTTCTCTTCTTCCTTTTTCCTTCTTTTTTTTGTTTCTGTTTATGGGATTTTTGGCTGAGATCGTTGGTTAGTATTTTTTCTATTTCTCTGTTTTTTTCGTTTTCTGTTTCTGTCTCTTCTTTTTGTCTCTCTGTGTGTTTTTTCTCCTTTTTTTTTCAGGTGGGTGGTGGCTTTTATAGCCACCACCGGTGTTCGTCTCGGACCGGTCCGAAGAGGGGGCTTCGGTGAGTCACCGGACTACCAGTGGTGACTCACCCCGTAGCCTTGGCGTGGACGGCTGGTGTTCTAGCTTCTGGAGTCTTCGGCTGGGACGTGGCAGCGGCGGAGCGGCAAGAAGACTGTCGGCAGCCGCGTGGAAGCTGGGGCGGCGCCGCGTGGCCCTAGGGTATCAAACCCTAGGGTTTCTTTCTGGAACCATGTGGACCGTTGGATCGTGCCAGATCCAACGGTTGTGATGAGGCGGCTGAGGATGATTAGGGTTAGGAAACCCTAACTGGAAACCCAAATATTTAGGGTTTCTGGTTGGATTCGGACCGGTTTCAGTTGGTTTGTAACTGGGCCGGTTTAATTGTAATTGGTTTGTAATTTATATATATTTTAATATATTTAATAATAAAATAATAATAATAATAATAATAATAATAATAATAATAATAATATTAATATTAATAATAATATTAATAATGATAATAATATTAATAATAATAATAATAATAATATTAATAATAATAATAATAATAATAATAATAATAATATGGATAAAAAATAGTATCTTCAATTATTGTTTTTTCTGAGTCTTCCCTTTTGGAAAATAAGGAAAAGTATACCCCTTTACTTTCTTCTTCAGATTCTTCACTTCTTTGTTGTTGTTGTTATTGCTCTTCTTCTTCCCTTTGTTTTTGAGCAAGCCATTTGCAGTTTCTTCCAGCTGCTACAAATTGAAAGAATCTTTCAACATGTTCATCTCTTAAGCTTCAACTTCTCCTTCTATGCTCTGCTCTTCACACATTTTAACCAACATTCTAATCTAAAATCTGTATGTTATATCACTTTTCAGCCGATTTTTCTAATTTGGGTTTTCTCTGCATTTTTGTTCTATTTCTTTGTTCATAGTATTCCCTTCCCGGCATGGGATTTTGACCACTTTCCCTAGTTCTCATTTTTGTTTTGCTTTCTGGGATAATGCTGGATTTATGCTTTCTTTTCATTTTTTAAATAATGATGCATATGTTTGGCTTTTTGGAGAACAATAACTTGTGGGTAACAAGTAAGAATGTTGGTTGGAAATTTGATATGTTTAGGTTAGCTGCTTTTGTAAGTAGGAGAGAAATCAAAGAAGAAGAAGATAATTGCAGTCCATAAAGGGAAATTATATGTATTCTTTTATTATTGCAAAGAGAAAGATGATATCAGTCCTGTTATCATTTTCCTTTTTTCAATAGAATTTATGCTTTATTTTTTGTGAAATTTACAAGTTATAATTTATCTTTCCAGCTCAGAACACAGCTTTTGAATTTATATTTCTTCCTAACTGCTGGAAATTCCAGACTCAAATTTGGAAGTAAGTTGAAATTCTGGAGTGTCTAACTGAACCTTGGTACTTGGTAGCTGCTTCTCTGGATCTGTAAGAATACTTTAGATTTAGGCAGTTTTCTGTTGTGCCTTGAATTCGATGAATATTGTAATTTTCTTTTTATATAGCCTTCAATTTGGTTGAGTTGATTTGCTTTTGTTATTCAATTAATTTTGAGTTGAAATATACATGTTTCTGAGTTCTTGGTTTGCTCGATATCGATAATTAACAAAAGTGATCTTTTAGTGTTTAGTTTGAGGTTTGATAAGGTTGTTTTCTTTGTGTTTATCTCTAAGGAGCAGATAATAGACATAAAGATGACAAAGATAAGTCCTGATATCGATGAAACAACGCTGAAAGAATCAATTGTGGCTGTTTCGGCTGATGTGAGCTTTGCTTTCGATCACTTTCCAAAGTATAAATTAGGACCCGACAATCAGATTTTGGAGGAGCCAAGAGGGGATGAAAATGGTCCGTCGCTGAAGGAGGTTGTTGAAAGGGAAACGACACAATTATCCGAGCAGCACAAGCGACTCTCAGTTCGTGACATTGCTAGTAAATTTGACAAGAACCTTGCTTCTGCTGCGAAATTGGCTGATGAGGTGGGAACCATCTTCTTTTCAGTTGCCCCTATATCATATCAGTTATTCTCTTTTCTCCATCCTACTTGATCTGTAGTTTCTTTGTTTCAACTCTAACTTCCATGCATTTTGCTTACGACAATACCAGTATTCGTCTCATTGACAATGGATGATATAGTGAATAACACTTGTTTTCTTGTAATATAGGCCAAGCTTAGAAAGGTTGCTTCTTTGGAGGGGCATGTTCTATTGAAGAAACTTAGAGACGCCTTAGAGTCTTTGAGATGTTGTATGGATGGAAGAAACAAGGAAGATGTAGAAAAAGCTATCTCTATGGTTAGCTGCTTTGCCTCATCATTTCTATATTTTCGATAAAGGTTTTTGTTTGAAGCTTAATGCATCGTATCTATCATAAGAAGCTGTGGTCTATTCACAAATTCGAACCAGGTCAATGTTTAACGTACCAGTGTGCCACATCATGCATTCATATAAACAAGATGCACTCTTCATTTTCATGCCAAATTGTCAATGTTTTCAATTGTTAAACGTTTTCTCTAAATGTAGGTTGAGGCATTGGCAGTTAAATTGACCCAAAAAGAAGGAGAACTGATTCAAGAGAAGTTTGAAGTGAAAAAACTGGCCAATTTCCTCAAGCAGGTCAGTTCATGGAAGTCGAGTTTTGGATTGTGTTCTTGATGTATCAAATGGAGATCAGCCTTTTCTGGAGCTTGCAGTTTTGGTTTTTCTTTCTGTTATAAAAGAGGGTCATCTGATTTTCATTTTTACTGAATCGAATCCGTTCCTTTATATCTCCAGGCTTCTGAAGATGCTAAAAAGTTGGTAAATCAAGAAAAATCTTTTGCTTGTGCTGAAATTGAAAGTGCTAGGACCGTAGTGCAGCGATTTGGAGAGGCCCTTGATGAGCAAGAAAAGAATCCAGAAAATTCTCAAAAAACACAGGTTAAATTGAGCTTTTTACGTTAGTTTTCCTCCCTAATTCACCAGTTTCCGGGATGAACTTTTGCTTCCAAGTAAATTGTCCAACTAGGTACATCATAACAACTGTAAGTTGTGGTAAATTAGTACTTTGTAATGTATCTAGCCAGATGCTATATTAGACTGCCAATTCCGACCGACATAGGTCTTATTTATCCTGTTGCCAACGATGTGATTGGAATAGAGATGCATGTCAAAGATGTGTATTTTTGCATCATGATTGAATATTTTGATGTTGGAAATAGCAAGGCACTTTATTAATCTGTGATGTTATTTCTTGCAGGAGGTTGTGGAGCTAGTAGAGGAAGTTCAAGAGGGTAGGAGAATTAAATTGATGCATCAGCCAACGAAGGTGCGTTATCATGTCTCTTAAGTCTTTTCATTTGAAAAAAGGTTGTAGAAAATGGAGATAATCAAGCATCACATCGATCAAGAACACCATAGTATGAAATGCTTCGCCTCCTCTTTTCTCATTGTATAACATTGAAGATGACACTGTTTTGGTATTCTTGATCGATGTGATATAGACATTGGATTGATTGGAAATTCAATGTGTATGATGTATTTGGATAAGGTTTTGATATAATGGCAGCCTCGGATCATTGCAATATACCTTATGTTTTCAGGTGATGGATATGGAGCATGAACTTCGTGCTCTCAGAGCTCAAATTCGAGAGAAATCTCTGTTCCAAGCAAAGCTTCAGAAAGAGGTCGGTTGAGTTTTCATTTCTTCTTTTATCTTTACAATATTCCATCAGGCTGCTGGTGGGTACTTTTGCAATAAAATATGGATGTCATGGTATTGAAATATTTATCATCCAAAACCTAATTAAAGCTAAAATAACATTGACACCCACCCACCCACCCACCCACACATATATAGTTAACTGCAAAACTCTTTTAAAATGGAAAGGAAACCCAAATACTTGGAAAAGAAGAAAGAACTAATGTTGCTGTGACATGTCTGGTATTTTTCCTTGGCGAAGATTAGTATTTACTTTCCAAAGAGCATCCAGCCAACAGAGCCCACAAAACTCTTACTGGAAGTTGTTTGTTTCGGTGAAAGTTGAATATTTTTGTAATATTACCATATTGGAAGGTAAATTCCATTTGCCACTCTGTTCAAAGTTGTTGCTGGGTGTTGGTAGATATTGTTCCGAGTCTTGAACATCATGCAATCATCTTTTGTGACTATCATTTTTGTTCCTAGCATGTTCCTTAGATATTAGCGAGTGGGATGATGTGATTTGATCTATGATAATTTCTGATATTCTAATCTATGCTGGTTAATTACAGCTGGCAATTAATAAGATGGCCGAGGAGAACAAATCCCGTGTTTTTGGTTTTCATGGTTCTGAAACTCTTGGTTCATGCTTAAAACTCCAGCCTTGTTCTGATAATGCCCCATTGCTTTCAAAATCCTTGATTCAGTGGTATCGGATATCATCTGATGGAAATGGAAGGGAAATAATTTCAGGTATCCTTGCTAGTTGTCCTGATCGGATTTTCAATATCATACCGACTATAAAACACATTGTTGCTTGTTAACCTGTATCATTTACATTTCATCCTACTCTAATAACTGATCCAATTTTCTGCGTTATCAGGTGCCAACAAAACTATGTATGCCCCGGAACCACTTGATGTTGGTCGAGTTTTGCAGGCCGAGATTCTCTCAAATGGCCAAAAAGTCTCTGTGACAACTGCCAATCCTATTGATTCTGGTTAGTTTACACCCGAATGTGTTAGTGTATTGATGAATGGAAAAGAAGGCAAGAAATGCTGATAAAGTTACTTCTACAGCTGCAGGTTTGGGAAGCTACGTAGAGACGCTTTTGCGGAAATCCAACAGTGAATTTAATGTGCGTATGATTCCTTCTGGTTTGTCCTCGGTGATATTATGATCATCATCTGTATGCGATGCTTTTTCTAGTGTATGAATGTATTGATATAAGACAAGTTAAGAAAATGGATATGCATTGAATCTCATTTTTCCTCAAGTAGTTTAGCTCATCATAAATTTTATTCTAGAACCAGTCGACGTGGTAGGAATATTTGTCTCATCCAATTCTAATCGAAGTTTATTCATTCGATGTCTTTTCTAGGTAGTCATTTCCCAGATCAATGGACAAGGTCATTCTTCACGCTCGACTCACACATTCAATATTGGAAAGATGAGGATCAAGCTCTGTAGAGGATGGATCACAAAGTCCAGAGAAAATTATTCCACGTCAATGCTGGTGATTATTTTACTCTTCTCTTACAAATACTTATTATTTTGTAAGCACTTTTTTACCGGTTCTAACATTCTTTCTGCTTTTCCTAATTAAGTTATGTGGAGCTAGAGGTCAGGCAAATGCTCCGGCCAAATCATTGTTTTGGCAACCGAGGAAAGGGCTCTCATATGTATTAACATTTGAATCTGATAAAGAAAGAAATGCAGCTATCATGGTTGCACGGAAGCACGCTCTCGACTGTAAGGTACGGGCCTAACAATCTTATCGAAGAATCTCAGAAAACCAAGTTACATGCATTTATCTTGATACACCATTTTTCTTACAGAAGTTACTGAAATGTGAAAGAATATGTTGTGATTATGCAGGTGATGCTGGGAGGAGCAGATGATGAAATGCACAAGTAAATGTATATTTATATATCTAACTGATAAGAAGCCAGGGTTTTACTTAATTGTGTGAGTAATTTTTTTTTGAAATGTCTGTATGGTGTGTTTGGTAATGAGGGAGAAGAATATGAAAAATTGGGGTTTGACCCTTTAGGTTTCTACTAACGAGGCAGTGTTTTTTAGGTTTGCCTAATCACCAGTTGTAACATGTTTTTGTTTTTCTTTTTCAATTGATTTGATCGTTTGATTCGTGCTTCATTTGCTTAATGTCCGATTTATCATGTTCGAGATTCGTGACTGTCACTTTCATTTTCCGAACAATGTCATCCCCAAATGCTCGTAAAATTCGATAACAACTTAATGATCACCTTGTAATGTTGTAGCATGCCACTGCCACATACCAAGTATGGTGTCACGAGTTTTTATTTTCTTCCTCGATTAAACATGGAAACTCGACTCCGACAAAAATGTGGAAAAACCCACAGACAAAGGGAAGGCAGAGGAGACGTTGCCTCCCCCAACGAAGACACGGAGGGTGAAGCTTCCGAGCTGAAAGGGCAGCATTCGCATCTATTGGTTTTCTGCTATCACACACTGTTACATTGATCATAACAGATGTTTCAATATGGGGCCATAAGAGGAAAAATCAAGTGATTAATATGTAAGCTCGTAAACCAAGTGAGACATTAACGAAATAAGAATTATAAGTATTCCTGCACCTTCGAACCTAAGATGAAGAAAGCATTACCAAAGAAGCTATCTTATTGAAGCTAACAATAACCATATGCCTTATATGTTATATATAAGTTTACTTGATTTAGGCCATTCAAAGTTAGAAGTTGAAGAACTGACGAGTGCTTGCAATCGACACTTTTTGCTTGCCAATTCTCTTGTTTTATGAACTTTTCACTATTGATTTGGTTGCATTTGGCTTATTTTCTATGCAGATAACATGTTTACTGGAATTGGAAGCAAAAGGGCATGTTCTGCAACTTTTTGTTGTTTTTCTGGTAACGGCTGGAGGCATGGGCATGACGTAGGTCTGACATGGCAGTTTCTAGAAGGTCCAGTCAACATGAAGATTCTGAAAACCACTCAGTCAGTATTATCCGAGGAAATTTTCTAGGATTTTAGTTTTCAATTTTAAAACTTAAAAACATTTGAATTATTTTGATTTATCTTCTTTTTATTATCTTGTTATTTTTAGATTTAAGAAGCCTATAAATACCCTTCATGGGTAAGGGCTTAAACATCTCTTGTTTTTACTTTGTTTATTTTTCAACATTTTTATTTTAATTAAAGTTCCATTTTCTTTTCGCTTTCTTTCATTTACAAGTTATTTTATTTTACAAATCCATGCCAAGTATGATGATCAATATCATGCTTAGCTAATTTCCTCGTGCCAAGATCTAGTAATGAATCGATTTTATTAGTGAGAATCGAACAAAGCTCTTAAATCCCTTCGGGATACGTTCTCTTTTGTTTTTTTTGGATAAAAGAGCTTGGCAATTGGCCTTGTTCACAATTTTTAATGTTTTCGAATCAAAAAGTTGATGTTGGTCCGAACATGGTTTGAAAATACTATTGGGAGGACGAATCGGTCTGTGACACTTCGACTTCCTGTGAGCACGCTTAGTGGCAGTTCACTATATATTATATATTTAGGATAATTATAATAATATCCCTATATATTATTTTTTAATTAGATACCTATTTTCATCGAATAAAAAATTAATATTTTTATAAGTAGATTTATTTCGGGTCAGATCAAGTCCGGGTTTATCTCAAAAGATGGGTCAAGTTCGGGTCAAGTGAAGTCACTCTAAACTCAGGTCAGATTGGATTTCGGATAAACAGTGTATATTTTTTTGGGTTGAGACAAATAGGCCTGAAACCCGACCCATGCTCATCTCTAATTATATACAAAATTATCTATAAAATAATATAGATATTTGTAAGATTAATATGACAAAAATATTACCACGTCACTGACTTTATAGATGCACAAAGTGTTTAACCACAGAAGAATTAAACACATACTTCGTCAAACATGTTAAACTTTGAACGCCTAAAACTATTAATAAAAATTTATATGAAGCTGAACCAACTAAAGAACAAGAAGGAAACAAATCCTCGGTAAAAGAACACCCTCTGCAGAAAGAAAAAAAGAAGAACAAGAACATATTCAATAACGAAATACGAACTTGAAACAGTGGAATATATGTGCAAGCTTAGTCATTGAAGTAGACAAAATATATGTCTAACATAACAAATATGGTAATCAGAGATAAAATTTAAAATAATCAAAATATAAAGCATACCACTTCCTCTGGATATCCAAATCAAATGATTGATGAGCTTTAGCCTTTAATTTATGCCAATCCCAACTTTGAGAAGCAGAAAGAAAAGTGGGGTTTTATAGAAGCCTAGAAACAGAAAGTAACCAAGTTGATAAATGCTGGAAAATCCCTAAGTTTAAGTGAATAGACTTGGGTTTATCTTTTTATTCAACAATTTAACACTTAAAGTTTTGTTTTGGATCAAAATAGTCCCAGCTTAAATAAAAATTACATGGCATGAACCTAGGTCCAATGAAAAATATAGGATGGCTTATATATTTAGTCACTCAACTATAATTTTGATTTTGTTTTGATCACTCAATTAGCTTGATCACAAGTTTGGGACTTGCAGATAACATATGGTATACTGCTGCTGATAAAGAAATAGGCACAGTATATATGATTCATGCAGGTCCAGAAACCTTAGCTTCCGATCTTGTTAAAAGATCTCTTGGTTCAGTTTTTTATGTTAGCAGAGGAGATGCACTACACAATGACATTTGTCAGTGGTGAATCCACTGCACTTTCCACTGTCAAGTAGAAAAGCTTAGCGGACATTTGATGTTGAGATTCTTTTCTTTGTGAAGAAGGAAGGTTTAAGTTAAGATCTCGGATATAAAAATCCTCTCTTCTCTCCGTCTTGATCAACTCGGTCTTGATCAAGATGTTTTACTATTACCTTTAGTATTAGTGCTAGACGTAAGATGATGATAACTATTTATAAATTGATAAGTAGATTCAATTGGTAAGATCAACTATGAATAGATTCTAACAGTTTACATAGGACTTATCAGATATCATATTGAAAGGTCAAGGCTTTCCAGAGATACTAGGCTCCAAAGGCCAGATTCCAAAGGTTCTGTGTCTGGAGATATTTTTTCCAGGGCCTTGAATGAGTGAGGTGGTTTAAGAATGTTTACTGAAGTGCTTTTTGCTTAAAATTTCATTTGAAACGCAAAACCAATCTCGAAGATTTCACTTTCAATAAAAAATTCACGTTTTAAAAATGATTATTGACTTGGACCGATAAGTTAGAAAAAAGGTGCTTTTGCGTTTGAAAAGCTCATTTAGAGAACATTCCGAAACGAATACGAAAATCTTGACTGTGCAAAATATTGCAGAGGAGATTCGGAAATGGTGCAAACAGGTCGCATACTTAAACCAAATGTCACGGGTTCAGCTGAATAGCAAGATATGGCCTGGACTGGAAATGCTAGTCACAAGCGTTTACATCTTACATTCACACCAACATCAACATGGTACCCAAAATATGAAAAACTTCGCTGACCATTTATTATTACATGCATCATTGATACAAATTTGAATCTCTTTGTTGGGGGGGGGGGGATTGAATAAAGTAGTTTTTAAATGCATACATTAAAAAATAAAGAGGATCGAATTCAACCAAAAATAAATAATTGAATCGGACGAGAGAATACAACTTGTAATAGTCATTTTCAGAGAATAGATTGTAGCATAAGCAAGTGATCACATAAGGAAATAGCAACTCACAAAACACATTCATTCTTTGAGTACCATCCAAAATCTCATCAACAATATGAGTAGATATTTGATGTTAATTCCTCGACTCTAGATATCGTTTTTGGCCGAATCAAGAAACTTAAGTGCCAGCATTTCTGCGGCCGACACGGGCAACGAAACCAGCTTTAATTGGAGCAACTGATCGTCCAGACCCACACTACAAAAGAAAGATCGAGACTTTTTAGTCCACTCGGCCGTGAGCAGGAAAAAAAAGGGTAAAATCAAAACTTTATTAGAAAAAATCAAAAAATCTAAATAAAATTAGAAAGTCTTCCAAGGGGGTTCACAACTATCGTTTTCTCATTCACGAAACGATAAGGCAATGTAGCCACTTGTCGAACATTATAAGCTCCCTTCGGAAAAAGATGTGAAAACCCATAAAAGAATTCTTAAGAAACAAACTCTGGGCCTCAGCTTTCTTTTGATATCTTCAGAATGAAGATCTGACAATGTAGGCAATTTGAATCATCATAAGCCTCAAAAACCAAGCAGATTTATTACTAGTTACTGCACTGAAAACAAAGCTATATACAGACTAAGTTCGTTTGTCAGTCTTAACCAATAATCATGACCATCGAATCAATAGAGAATGAATAGACGATAGGTAAAGAAGGATGGAAGGGGTTGGAGAAGAAAGTAGCATTGATACCTTTTCACATCTGAGAAAGAAAAGACGATTCTCCTTTGAGAGAATTGTATCCGGACTTTTGCATCCAAGGCATATAACATACTCATCTGTAAAGAGGAAAGCAAAATTCCCAAAGTCCATCAAAATATTCCCAGCTACAAGTTTACATTTTTTATCATCTCAATATCAGTTATAATGACGTAAAAAGGGCACTTACTGATGTAACGCCTTAGGATCCCTTCAAAATTTTTGGGCGCAAACCTTCCCTTCACAACCAACCTTTGCTGCCCATCAAGTGATCCACTTTTTGGGCGCAAACCTTCCCTTCACAACCAACCTTTGCTGCCCATCAAGTGATCCACTTGTCCCCAACTCAGCAAGCAAGAAGGCCATGACATGGTCTGGTTGTCGATGCATTCTAAATTATTTCACAGGCAAGAATTTGTTAGAAAGGCTATTGCGCAATGACATCATCGAAAGTCAACATACTTGGTCAAAGAACTCCGAGGAATATAGTTTTATAGAATATATGTCAAAAAATCCAAAATCTAAAAGTGGCCTTTAAAGGAGATATCCCATCCTCAGTCATCCCAAGCAGCACCAAATACTGCATACGAATATATATATATATATATATATATATATATAAATGAGAGTACAAAATACAGGAAAAAAGGACAGTAACATACGTCTTGCATAGATCCATGAAATTCACAAATACAGTCTTCTTGGTTCCTTCACGAAGAACTTGTGGAGGCCTCATAACAGTTCTACGCCTATCTCCGGCAAGCTCAGGATTGTTCTCCTTGAGAATGTTGAACACATGACCAAGAAGCTGCATTCATCCCCATCAAATGAAGGTCATATCAATGATACACCATAAGGAATTGATTTATGGAGGAAGAGAGGCTTGAAGGGTTGTGTATTTAAGGTAGACTTTAAAAAGGCTTATGATTCGGTAGATTGGGACATTTTATTTAAAGTTATGGCGAAGATGGGGTTTGGTTCTAAATGGTGTAGTTGGATCCGGATGTGTGTGTCAACTGCTTCGGTGTCAGTTTTAGTTAACGGGGTTCCTACTGATGAATTTCCTATGACTAGAGGCCTTCGGCAGGGTTGTTCCCTGTCCCCTCTGTTGTTTAACTTTGTTGGAGAACTGCTTAACCTGCTGCTTCGTAAAGCAGTATCTTCGGGCCTCTTCAGTGGTCTGGTGGTTGGTAAAGATGAGGCCTCAGTCAACTTATCTCATCTGCAATTTGCAGATGACCTAATCATTTTCTGTAGTGCTTCGAAGACTCAGATTGTTAATGTTAAGAGGATCCTTCGGGTGTTCGAAATTATGACTGGTCTGGAACTGAATCTGTCTAAGAGCAGATTATTTGGGATTAATATTAATGAGGAAGAGCTTCTTCAGTGGGCTAATGCTATTGGATGTCCTGTAGGACATTTTCCTGCGGAATATTTGGGGCTGCCTCTTGGTGCTAAGAGAAACTCTATGATGTTGTGGGATCCGGTAGTTCAAAAGTTTCATTCAAAGCTAGCCGGATGGAAGGCGAAGACTCTATCAATGGCAGGGAGGTTGGTATTACTGAAGGCAGTTTTGGGTTCCCTTCCTATCTATTTCATGTCCCTCTTCAAGATGCCTTCTTCGGTGAGTGTTAAGCTGAATTCCATCATGGCCAGATTCTTATGGGGGGGGAGGAGTGGAGGCTAGGAAAATCCATTGGGTCAATTGGACAAAAGTTTGCTCCGATAAAAGTGTTGGAGGTCTTGGTGCTATGAATATAAGTCTTATGAATAGAGCTCTCTTAGGGAGATGGTCTTGGAGGTTTGCTAACGATAAAGACTCAGTGTGGAAGAGGGTTATTTGCTGTAAATACAATTTGGATCCCAGTTTACTGCTGTTTAACGAGAAACTTCCGACACATGCTTCTTGGATTTGGAAATCGGTGGTCCTCAACCATTTCAAAAATGATCAGTTTGGAGTAAAGTTTCGTAGCAACTTTAAAGTCAGAGTGGGTGATGGAGGGAGCATTAGATTTTGGTTGGATAGTTGGGCACATGATTCCCCTCTTAAAGTGATTTTTCCGAGGTTGTATGTGCTGTCTACAAATAAGTATGGGAAGCTTTATGAGTTTGGGGAATTTCGATCTTCAGTTTGGTCTTGGCATGTTAATTTGAGAAGGAATTTGAGTGAATGGGAATTGGTTCAGTACTCTGATTTAATGACTCTAATCCACAATATCCCTCTTTCTCAGGAGTTATCGGATGGGTTGGTCTGGTATGGCAATGGGGAAGGTGTCTATACTGTTAATTCGAGTGTTAAGTCATGCAGGCCTGTTGGTATAACAGATCCCTTTTGGAAGAAGTATGTTTGGAGGGGATCGGTGCCTCCTAGAGTGGAGGTCTTCTTGTGGCAGTTTTGGACAATGTGGAAGGGTAGGAATGCAATTGTTTTCGAGGGGGGAAGGTAGATCAAATTGATTTATTCTTTTTGGCAAGGTGTAGACTGGCTGTTGGGTTCTTCTTACTACAAGGTTGTATCTATCCTAAGGACTCTCTTATTTGTGACCCTTCACTTGGGGATTGCTGATCCTTATTAAGCTCTCCTATTATCAAACTGTGTCCTGGTCTAATCCTCCAGAAGGAATGGGGATGCAGCTGTGACTGCAGATTGGAGGAAGAGTGGTGTTGGGGGCATTCTTAGAGTTCATGATGGTTCGGTGGTGGGCTCTTTTCAAGAGGCTGCTGGTCCAGGTCCTCCTGTTTGTGTAGAACTCAAGGCAATTATGAAGGGTTATCTTTCTTTGACTCGTTTCAGCAGCGGTTTAAGGAAAGGTTAATTGTTGAATCAGACAGTAAATTAGCAGTGGATTGGGTCAAGAACATCGACCGTTGTCCCTATGTTTACTTAGACATTGTGACAGCTATTGTTGGCAAGGTTAGTGGACTGAATAGTAGTATTAGATGGGTTGCTAGGTCAGCCAATGTTGAGGCTGATAGTTTAGCTAAGGCTGGTATTGGATAGATCTCTGTTTTGTTTAGTTGGGTTTCTATTAGGTTTTGGGTTGCTTATTTGTATGATAGATTGTATGGTTGTTTTAAGTCTTGTAACTTGTGGTTATCAATGAATTATTGAGGCACTCTTTTCCTCCTTCCGCTGATTAAGGAGCACCGTGTGATCCTTTAATCATGAAGGGGGTTTTTAAAGAGGCCTACCTTTCCTATCAAAAAAAAAAAAAAAAACATTCAATCAGTAGTCTTACAGAAACATAAAACATCCTCCAAAATGGATAGTTGTGAATGGTGAATTCCAAAACCACATTTGAAATTTAGCATTCCAGCGAGTACAGTTCATAGGAACATATACATTACCACGTCCATGAATATCAAATCAATAATTAACAAGCTAAAGCAAACAATATCAACAACATATTATACACACTATACCTCCTCATACAAGTAATCACGGTCACTTTCTTCCCAGGGATAGCGTTGTCGCAAGGGAATACCTTCACCTTCTTCATCCCCATCGATATGACCTAGTTAAGTAGTAAAATGACACAGAGCAAAAAACCCATTACATATTTCACACAAGACCTGCAATCACACCAATCTAATGAAAGAAAATCTTACCATCCAAATCATCTCCAGCATCCCCACTTTCCTCCTCGAATGTGTTGGCCTCTACCTTCAATATCACAGTAGGCACGATCAGATTATATTAGTTAACCGGGGGGAAATAACATATCCCCACTTACTTGTTTTTTCTTCTTCTTTTTCATGTTGCTGAAGTCAAGCCCTTCAGAAACTATAAGTAGAGAAAAATAAACAATAAGCAACCTAACAAAACATAGCACATTTACTATAACTCCAACTGGCTCATACTTTCACAATTTGCTTTTTACCCTTTGTCTCTTGTATCTATTATATTATATTTTTACTTCTATCTATTTTACATACAAACTTTATTTGTATGAAAAATTGGGGAAAATTACCCGATAAGGATTCAGTTTTCTCGGCTAACTTATCGACAGGATCATCAGCAGGGTCTTGAATCACAACCTTCTTCTTTTTCTTCTTTTTAGTAGGGTCAAATGATGAAAGCTGAAGCAAAGACGTCCATTAAAATAAATAAATAAATATAAATCAGTATATGCGAAAATATCTAAAATTGAACCATTACGAATTAATAACAGGAAAAAATTACTTACTTCCGGGATCTCATCCTTCACATCATCGTCCGCCATGATTGCTGCAAAAGAAAAGGGAAAATCCAAAGAAAATAATGTTTAGAAAAAAAAGGGATATAATAGATTAGCTTTAAAATACTATTCTTTTCGAAAGTTAAAAAAACCTAAATCATGAGATGAATTCATTTGCTTTGCTTTACCTAAAATCAGAGAACGAATGAATCGTTGATTTGGGGAAGAGAGTGAAACAAAGGGCAAGAGGTCGGCTCGCGTTTGGAAGATAACATTATGCTGCCTTGGTTCTTAGGAAAAAAGCTTAAGTTAATTCATAAGAAGTACTTTAATTATGAGATGACTTTAATATGATCACTAAAGTTTTAAAATTTTCAATTAAATCTTAAGATCATCTTATATACTATAATTGATTTTCCGAAAAGTAATTTACATGGGTAAAGTATATAAATGATCTCTCGACTATATGATATTGTTTTACTAAATATCTTGACTATTAAAGTTACAAAATAGTCCCTTAATTATAGGACATTGCTTTGTTGAGTCCTCTGACTATTAAAAGTTATAAAATGGTCACCCGACTATTCAATGTGTTCCAAACTCGTCCTTTTCTATTAAAATTTTGATGGCAATTTGAGTTAGATGTTAACCTGTTGAATGTGATATGATATAATATGATCTCAGAATCTCAAACGACTATCATATCATAATTAGTAGGTTAACAGTTAGCTCAAATTGTCATCATATTTTTAACAAAAAAATGTCGAGTTTAGAACATAATGAATAGTCAGATGATCATTTTATAACTTTTAATAGTCGATATACTCTCAACAAAGCAACATACTATAGTTAGGAGATCATTTTGTATCTCTTAATAATTAGGGGACTCAATAAAGCAACACATTATAGTCACGAACTATTTATGTGCTTAACCCTAAAATAAAATACTTAAAAATGATTCACTTAAAATAAATTATATTTTCTATACAATAAATTTGTATATTTTTTCGCTGAAAGGATTGGTCCCCTTGAGTAGATGTTAGGTCGAGGTATATTCTTCTAAACAATAAATTAAAATTAATGACTATAAAATATAATCAAGCACTTGCAAAATAAAATAAATTATTGTGCTTATGATTATTGTTAAATTAAGTTATTTTGCCCTGTTTACAATTTGAATTAAATAATATTTTCGTTCCTTAAATTGTATTTTATTATCATTTTAATACTTTAAGAATATTCAAATTAACCAATAAATATTTAGGTAAACTACTTGAATACGCACCATATTATAGAATCGATTCTATTTTGATTATTAAATCCAAAAAAAAAATGAATTGGACAACCCAACAAACTATATTGTTATCAATAAGTCGAAGTGGCACTTAAAAATAATTATATCATTACACAATTAATCTTCATTACCTACACATTATATCAATTTAATCTTAATTTTAATTTAAATCAATAAATATAATCATCTAATAACCCTAATTTTAATTTAAATCAATCGTTTAATTATCCTAATTTTAATTCAAATCAATAAATATAATCCTCCAATCAAACGATATGATCCCTATAGTGCAACGAAAACACAATGTTTTACCAAAACGTACACGTTTAAGCAGTTAAGCTCATTGAAACATGAAAAAGTTGATAGTTGAAAAAACACAGAGATAGATTATTTGCTAAAGAATTTTTAGATGTTGAATTTGTCGAATCCTCCGGCGATGATCGAAATCAAATCTTGATTACGATTGTAATTAATCTAATGCCATTTAGGGTTAAAACTCGTAAGCATCATGTCTCATGCAAAAGCATTCCGAATGCAGCCGGTTAGGCTCGAGATCTTATATCGAACAGAATGGATGTAAACGAATAAATGACCTCATTGCATCTATGGGGCTCAGGGTGTAACCGGAGATTTTGTCAGTATATCGGTCGAAATCGAGGATGTAATCAACCTCGATGCAGAGTCGTACTATGCCATTAGAACTGGTCTCTATCCGTTACTAGGACTTGTTTTCATTTTCCTTAAAATATTTGTATTTATAACTCAAATCAGACACATCTAAACATAAATACAGTATGATTCTACATGTATATAGAAAGCAAAAATGAATGCAATTCAATACATTTATACCGAATCGAACAAATCACGACACCCGACTCCTTTTCGAGTCAGAATCAGAGACTGAATAACATATGATGGTAATGGTACAACTTTCAATCTTCGAGAATTAAGAAGGTGCAACTTATGGGCAGAATGATAAAATTCAAGTCAAAATATACTGTCAATCTGTGTACTTGAATGAAGTTTGAGATTTAATCATTGTATCCAAAAGGTTAAAAATCAAATCCTATTTCTCTTCCATTTTTTCGATTTAAAAAACCGTACTTCAATCGTTGACACCGCTAGTATTTAAGCAATCATACAAACTCCGAAAGTAAATCATTATGAACCCAAGATACCTAGTGGCAAGCAAATTTTAACAAAAAGATATTAGCAGTGTCAACGACTGGATTAGAACTTTTAAACCGATAGGATGATTTGTTTTTTTATCGAGTATAGGGACTGAATCTCAAGATTCTCAAACTTGATCAAAGTACAGGGACTAACGTCATATTTTGACCATACCAGCGAACCAAATCTCGAACATAAACATTGGTTCACAAACTTGCATTAAACACCACACAAGACCATTTTGGAAGGTCCTCAAGAACATAAACATTAATATTATTCCACAATCCTTCATTCCAAATGAAACGGCATAAGTTATATACTAAACAAAATGTAAATCACTGATTACCTGTCCGATAAAACCATCCCAAGGCCAATGACACACTAGAGTGCCAACGGCAAAAGCAGTCGCTTCGACGGTCCATTGGCACCAAAACAGAAACTTTATGTTTAGTCTAAATTTATTTTTGAACTTGTTTCTCCTCTCCGAACCATGCTAATACCGATGATGTCAGGTAACTTCTTCCTATCCATCAATCAAAGCAGTCGAATTGTTGATTTCTAAAATGCTATACACGAAAACCATTTTATTACGGAGGGGAGCCAGTTGTATCTGCAGTAAAACATTACATGATATGGCACTGTAAGTGATTATTTTCCACTGGAAGAAATATTTAACTGAAAATATTCATGGCTCGAATCAAAGATCAAGTAAACAATACATAACCGAAAAATCTATAAAAAAAAATGGATCTAAGAAAACACAAAACACTGACATTCTCAAAAGAATGGGCAAGTACATCCTATAATAGTGGCTAAAAATGCAGATAATGAGAACATAAAGTAAATATATGTGAAGCAATACCATTGATGCTGTAGGGCTATTCGTTTCCAAAACCGTCATAACTCCGTCCCTTTGATATGGTATCCAACCTCTTGTTGTCTCCTACAAGCCAAAGGCAAATGTCATGCTGTCATAAATCAGAACCAACAAAACTGGATATATAAATCTTTCAAAGGGGAGACGGGAGAAATGAGGTTCACCTTGATGCTCTCTTTCACGAGAATCCAGGAAAGTTTCATTCACAGTTGCTAAAAACGGTGATCGGGAGTAGCTCTCCAATATATCTGAAATTATAATGAGGTTAGTCTAAAATAAAGTATCCAAAAATTTCCTTTTTGAAGCACACAGATAATAAACAAATATATATGGTATCATTAAGAGGTTATTCTGAAAATGTTATGATTTTAATAAATGAAATTAACTAGCGCTAACTAGGCCAAATAAATGCCAGTGCACAGGAAATAAATTTTAAAATAGACTAGAAACCAAGATATGGATGCACAAATACAAGCTTGCATGCAGACAAATATGTGGTATGAGGAACGTGCATGTGCTGACACAAACTCTCGAAGAGCAAGAGACCTGAACTCTGAGAAAAATCAGCTGTGAGATCTGAAAGACTGAAATTGCGGGGAATCTGGCCTAAAAATCCAAATGAAGAAATGTCGGCATCCAGAAGTGGTTCATTCAGTGGTTGAGTGCTTGATTCTACGGTACTGAAAGACGTATCCCCAATTGTTGGACGTGCCTCCAGAACATTGCTCTCAACACCAAACATATATGGAGAACTGGTCGAATAACCAGCTTCCGGTTTTATCATTTTCCCATTCATTCTTTGCATTATACTCATGTTTGAATTCTGAGTTGAAAGCATGCCCGGTGGGGCATCAATCCTGCTGGCATGGATAGGCAGATCAATAGGACCATGAATCCCGGCATGTAACGACGAACTACCATTAGTGAATACATTAGGCAAACTAGATCCCATGGGATGGTGCATGTCCTCCTGCTTCAGAGCTGGCCCTGTGTTCTCGGGGGCATAGCAGGATGAGTTCTGGGGCACTATAAGAGGAAGCTAAATCAATTGCAAAAAAATTGAAAACTGGAGAAAACAAAAGCTTGGTTTGCAGATTGTCAGCAATTAAATTGAAAACACAATAATTTGTAAGAGTAATAACTATTACCAACCGCCACCCCCCATAATCTATCAACAGCAGATTGCAACATGCACAAAAATAAATGAAAAAAATGCAAGACAAGAAGATTGGGGAAGTTAATAGACCAAAACAATGTGTGCAAAGATATGTAGTTTTCCAGCTTTTTTATCCAAAGTGGATATTCGGAAATAAGTCCATAAGTAATCACAGAGTCCTGCCTATATCCAAATTCCAGCTCTTAATGCATATTGTCAACACTCAAGAGTTAAAGAAGAAGCGCACTTATTTCGTATTAATTCTCATCCTATGTTTTAGTGACCTAAATTATCTATAAGTCTATCTTTTGTTAGATTTTATACGCGTTGGACACATTTGGAAGCTAAAACCGAGGATTTGGGTGACTTTTGGACAATTAAAGAACAAGAAAGGCGAATCGCAGAAAAACTCAAGAGAATAAAGTGCGCCCACGGCGCACTTAAGATATTTGGACAAGTTTCCTACTTACATCGAAACTCAATTTCTATCTTGGGTTTGTTTTCTATATGAGCTTCTAAAGCTTCATGATCTAATCAAAGATTCTTCAAGGTTTTTAATTTATTGATTCATGAGATTTCCGTTCGCTGTCTTCTATATTCTTTTTTAATATTCTTATATATTCTGTTTTATTTATTAATTATTGGTTTATGAATTGCATGAACTGGTCACTCTACAATTTATTGAATCTTTATATAGCTAATTAAAATCGTCTCATCCGTAATTGTGGGAAGATTTCAATCCACATAGTGAAACAACTCTAGCAAGGGTTATGAACGTATATGACCTAAGTTTAAATCATCCACGGTGTGGGTTGTGGGACTGTCTAATCCATAAGAGAAGTAATCATTCAAACGTCTCTTTGATTACCGAGACGCTATGAAGAGATTAGGTTAGACATCCCGAGTAACTATAACCAAGCTATCAAAAAAACATTTAGATATTTATATGTCAGAATCGATGACCGAATCATGAATTAATCTATGCGATTTACCTTGGCTAGACATCTACTCATCATTGAATTCCTATTTATTCTCAATTGTGTTCTTTTATATTAAGTTTTTAATTTCATTTTGAATTAAAACTCCCCCAATTTTATTTTCTTGTTTATTTCTGGAAAATTATCTAACATTACACTCTGTGGATTCGACCTTGCTCACCACTACTACAAAATTTTGATCTTGAGCAGGATTTATTTTGAAGGTCTCAGCAACATGTCATCTCTCTTCAGTTGTCTTCACAATTAAACTAACATAAAAAGGGCATAAAAAAACTATCCTCAATGTTAGCCTCTAGAAAAATGTAAAATGATTATTTAACAAAACAAATCTCAACCGAATAAAAACCATATTAAGTGTTTATTCAACAAGTTTGGAGCATGCTTTTGCAGTTAAAAATAAATGTATATAACACGTCCAATGGAGCAAACAGGGCAAAAAACAAACATACTCAGCGGCATTTGAGGTCCATTAGAATTAGAGATTGAGGAGACTCCAGTTGAATGAATCTGATCTATCAATCGCACCTGTTGCTCAAGCAGCTTGTTGAATTCCATTATTTGTTGCTTCACCATCAGTCTCAGATAATAAGCCTGGAAGAATTCCCTATTCTCTTCTTCAAGCTTTTGCCAAACTGAAAAACATGAAATACTCGTGAAAGGAAATAAGAAGGATAATGTTATGTAATGACCATAAACTATTGTAAAAACCTCATGAAGTCATGATCAGAAACAATATACCTGTTGACCAACACAGCAATCCTTACCCGACTATAAGTTAAAGCTATGTGTACAACAGTCCGGTCTACAAGCTTCACTTAAAACAGATTTTTGCAAAGGCAAAGCCAGAGCATCTCCTTAGTGTATTTTTTCTTATAAATTTGTTAGTATGTGATTTATAATATATAGCGCTATCAGATAGGGTATTTCATAAGGACAGACAATCAGGAAAGAGCATGGACGTTATGATAAAAATATTTGAACAGATAGTTACCAAGTTCAGTAAAACCACGCTCAATTTTGGCCTGAACCAGCAGAGTTTCCACAACTTCCTTCTGCGTCATGTAGAGTTGAAGACATCGTTCTATAAGGTTTTGCACCTGAAATAACACATATAAGAGCAAAAACACCTTTAACCATTGTGGACATCATATTACCTCTCAGAGCCTACATACCAACACATTAGATATACATCTTAACCTTGCTACAGGAACAAATATTATGCAGTTTATGCCATTTCTCCTTTATCTGCTCCTTTATCTTTTGAATCATTCCGCTTTATGGTATAAAAGGATTTTGTTATTAAATACACTAAATTAATTTACCAAACATATATTTATGCTTCCCATTATATCCAGCAAATAGTTCATTCCTTTATACAGCTTCAAAATTTCAATTTATAGGAAACATTAAAAATTTAAAAAAAAAATGTTAATTACCAATAGAACTAATGCATCTACAATATAGCAAAAAATTCACATAATAAACTCACTCCATCTGCTCGACATAAAGTGATAACTTTGGCAAGACATCTAAGCTTAAACTAAAAAGGATAATATGTAAATTTATACACGACCAAATTAATGCATAAGCATACAATTTATTACCATGGTCGCTCACTAACTGTAAGGATCAAGGTCAACATCTTACCAGCTGTATGTCTTGACGCGAAACCCTTCTATTTGGTCCGGTAGACATCTTTTGTTCAAATTTCCAAATGGAGCAAGATATGACCTAACACAAATATACCAGTAATTATAAATTATCTTCCCAAGATTACCAAAACAGAGTTAGGCGACCTTGTATGCCGCTAATACCTGAAAATGTACACAATTTGACACCAAACACAAAAGGCGTATATTCAAGAATAAATAATTAAATATCCTTATACTATTCTCTCTTGCTCAAATTTTCATCATTAATTTAACAGCAACTTCATAAAACTGGGGGGGTTGAAATTGCCTTAAAATTAAGTTACTAATGTCATCTAAAGCTACAAGTTTAAAGCATTGATCAACATGAAACAGCATAATTAAAGAATTTTCAAAAATTAACTTGATTATTTCATCATGCAAACACAAGATTCGATAAAAAAAAAAGAGATCAAATTATCTTGAAGCTATCTAATTTCACCCAACACTACAAGCTCAAAGCAGCGATCAACATGAAACAACAGAACTATAAAAAAAATCAACAATTATTCACCCTTTTCGCTTTTATCGTTTAAAATGGAAGAAAATACAACTAAAAACGTAAAAAAAAAATAGGGGAAAAGCACATGAGAAATACACAAAAATTGAGGAATTTTTTTCATTTTGATTCGTGGAGGCATGCAAAGATAATCAAGTTTGTAAAATCATAAAAAAATAAAGATATTTTTCAACTGACCTGAAGTTGTGAGCAGATTCGTACAGATTTGGGTAATCTGAGAAACGGAAGAAGGAAATGAAGATCACAAAAGGTAACGCTTTATTTTTATTTATTATTTTGCAATAAATAAAAGAATCCAGTTCAGAACATTTTGTTTTTATATACAACTAACTATATTTAAAATAAAATTGGATAAAATACAACATAGGTCAACAAACCATCTCAAAATAATCTTTTTGGTCAGTAAACTTTCAAATATTACAAAATAGTCATTGACTTTCTGGGTAACAACACGGATGATCCCTTATGTTTTGTCTTATTTTCTTTTAGTCATTGATTTTCAAAAAGTAATATTTTGGTCACTGAATTGTTAACTCTCATAATCCTTGTAACGGAAGTTTTACTTGATAATTTAAAGAAATTAAAATATCAATCATTTAACATTGAACGTTCACACTACTGACATTTTTTGTACTCAAATTCAGAGCCTCAAAGAATAACAATAATATATTTACCACCAAGATCACTTGGTTTGTAATTGATCATTGAACTTGAATCTTAATAATGGTAAGATTTAACATTTGGTGCAACAATAGTGGTGCGGATCTTGTCGAGGCAATTACCGATGCTACGATCATTGAACTTGGAGATCTTTCACGGTTTAATGAATTCTTCGATTATCTAGTTTATCTACCTAATTTTCATTGGTCGAGGTCTGGTTTTTCCGTGATGATGATGGTTTAGCCCATTTTTTCTTCCGTTTTGCCTCATAAAGAAGGATGAAAAACCCATGCATAATCTTGGTGTGATACTTTGCAGTACATAAGGTGTTGATCGATTGAGACAGTAGTAGGACATGGATGGTGAGTTATCATCTTTAAATTATTTTCAACTCAGAGTGGCTAATATGATTATACCATTACGTACTACGTCAATATTGCATCACCCACATTAACGGCTATTTATATAAAGTCACACAATTCAATAACATTAGTAATCAATTTGATATAAAAATTGATAACATAGTGATTAATTTATTACTTTTGAAACTTCAATGGAAAAACAAAAACTTAATGACCATTTGCGTAGTATACCCTTTTATATTATATCTAAATTTATACGTATCTGGGCAATCCTATACTTTGTCGAAATTCAGAAATTCACACCAAAATTTAAATTATTTTTCATTATAAAATTACTCGATTTTATAATTTAAAACACAAAAAAGAAAAAAAACTGCAAAAAAACTAAAACCAATAATGGAAAGAAAAAAATGAAAACAAAACTTTCAAACTCTGCCGTTGGCCTTATAGATCATATCAGCATGGGGCTTTGCTTTCAATACTTGGTGTGCATGGATAGACCACAAAATTGAACAATGTAAGCGCAAGACATGTTCACCTTCTGCCTCTCCTTCCTCTCCCGCGACCTCCTCTGCCTCGGCCTCGGCCTCTGCCACCGCCTCGACCCCGGCCTTCAAACGAGGATCTATCTGGCTTCAACCCTAATGATTGAACTCCCCTCTTTTTGTGCCGTGTCATTTTGTCCTCATCGTCCTCCATGTATTTGGCTGAACTTTTAGCACGGAAGGAAATCTCTCGTGACCCTCCTGGACCCAACTTCACATCGCTCGGTAAACCGGAAAACTGGTCATCTCGGAGCGCCTTCACTCTCTCTCCTATCGGAAGTGAATCTTCCTTTGCGAGTGAAACTTTATTCCCAAATGCTTCCGCATGACGCGTATCTTTAACTTCATACATTCTGTACATTTTTAAAGGAAAAAAAAGGAAGATTAGCATGCAGAAAGCTATGGCTTGGCAAATGAAGCTGTATCGGATGCGTCATACAAACAAGAAACACCTTACCTTGGACCTTGTGATTTCTTTCTTTTATGATTTACGTTCAAATCTTCCGATGATTGGGATGCTTCTGAAACATCAGAATCACTCAAAACAAGATCATCACTCTCCATGACGGGTTCAAAATGTTCCTCAACCAGTGAGGGTTGTTTCTTGGCACCCATAGGATGCAAGGCAAGATACTCTTGTGATTGGTCATCGATTTCGTAGTCCTAGATAAGAATCAGGAAGGAAAAACGTCAAACGACAAACCGGAAATTAAGATCCACAAGTAAGCATGCGCACGTCAAACAGCGAAGTTCCATGACAATCACAGATGTGATAAGATAAATTTTATGGAAAAGGTGGAAATTAAACTGAAAGCTACAAGCAGGCATGGCAAAAGAAACAGATTAACATACCTTATTTTCAAACATTTGAGCAAACCGATCGTCTTTAAATATTTCGGTGCTAAGTGCAGCTTTCTTTTTCTTCTTCGAAGTTTTCTTAATCTCGTTATCACCTGTATCGTTCTTTTCAATTTCAGCATCTTCATTCTCCAGGATCCGCTCTGCAAGCTCTTGATTAACCTTAACCTTGGGTAATTTCCTCTTCATCTGCAGGAAAAATAATATTAATCAACCAAATCTTGATTTTCTAACAATGAATGATTTATAACAGCCATATCAAAGTGGAAGCTCAATCTCTGAAGATCTTGATAGATTGAATTTAAAAGATAACGGAATAAGTCAGGTGAAAAACAATGGGATCAAGGGTTGGTATTTGCCTCCACTGAAGTTTACAGTGAAATTTGCTACTAGACAACTATAACACCTACAAATAACACATGTTCTAGCACTGTGAACATTTCCCCTCCTCGTCCCTCTTCTTTTCTGATTTATGTTATCCTTCCAAGCTTTATTGCATATATCAAAGTACCTGAATAAAGAAAACTTATTACAGGAATGAAATTACTGACCGTAATACGGTTGCGACGCTCAGCCTCCAGTTTCTCTTGTTTTCGCTGCTCTATGTAAGTTTCATATGCAAAAGGATCAGCCAATGCTTTTGCCTGCAAATATATGTACAATGTAAAGATTAAACAGAAAAACAGTGAAGATGTGGTACAAAATAACCTCATTGAGCATGAAAACAACTATTTGATCAGAAAACAGAAAAATTATACAATTCTCTTTCCAAATTTGTTCCAGCAGCAACTCTGAACTCATTTGTGATTTCTGCATCTTAACTTTTATTTACTTCTCAATTTTCATGTTTCACACACCCAACCAAAAAAACTTCCAGCAGGGGGACACAACACAATTATCCTAAGTTTTTAAGCCACATGATATCCTCGACAAGAAAAATGAAAAAGAACAGCAATCTCACCTTCTTGTACAAACGATAGTCAATAAAGAACCCATGCATGTAGGCTCGCAGAAGATTGGTCCCAATTAGATTTGTCAAATTCAATTTCTCAAGATCCTCCTTTGTTAAAAATTTATAATTGTCATATATGCTTGTTTGTCCACCCTCCTCAAGCTCTTCCTGTAAAATATACGCAAAGTAAACCTCAGTACCACGTCTGCAGATCCCAACATGGTACATCCAACAAAAAAATACAACAAAGAGAAATTAAGATACAGCTTAAAAAACATACCGTTAGAGATTCTAACGAAGAACACCACTTGGGAACAGGTCCCAAAGCAGGTATGAAATAAGCAGGTATCTGGCTGCCATCCAAAGCCAGAACCATCAGCCCACTATCATTGAACACACAGATATCATTGATTGCCCCAGCTGTTGGCTCAATGCTGGTCATTCCTTCTCCCTTTACAAAAGAAAAATAATTCAAGAGTTAGATACGAGTTTTGACGTTGAGGCAAAGACGGACTTGTAACTTCACTGGGTATATATATTTTTTTGATAAGAAAGAGGCCTCGTTAAAAAACCCCTTCATAACCGTTAAGCTACATGGTATCTTAACGGGCATTGGAAGGAGGAAAAGAGTGCCTACATTTTATTAATAGAAACATAGAGTACAACCTAGGTAAAAACCCCCTAGATTACAACCTTTCTCATAAACCGACACCTTTCCCCTGAAAGGATAACTAACACTCCAAACAAAAGACAAAAACAAACAAAAAAACAGCGGACATTACCCAATACCCTGCTTCACTGGGTATATATTACATACACCAAAAACACATATTACATTTATGTTGTACATGAAAATGCTTTTGCACACCGATGTGAGGCAAAATGAATCCATATGCTTCTTATATCCCCAAAAGAAAAACAAATTCATATGTATAGGTATTACACACCCGTGTGCATGTACGAGTGCATTCATATAACAGTCTTAGTGAACTAAGACATTCCTCAATAAATGAAAAGCAATTTTGATTACCAAGATAATGGAAAAGCCAATGACATGACAATACATCTCCATAGGTCAAAGTAACGTAATTGAGTATAATACAGAACATCTAAAGTTGAAGTAAGCGAACAATGCCATCATTTCTTACAAAACATGGATAATTGATTTTTTTTAAATACAACACACATGATAAAGGCACTTATTTGTGCATATACCTAGATGAGATGGACAATTCCCGAAGAACGATGATGACACCATACTCTCTAAACCCCATACTTAAGTGCAAGAACGGTATAACAGGGAAGATAAAAATCTCATAGAAAGCTAAAAAAGCACAAGCACACATGACAACATATACACATTTTAAATGTGTATGTCTAGAAAATGATTCGTTAAAGTTGGATCTTACTCACATATGATACCCTTGAAAAACAAAATCGCCAGAACAGTATAACAGTGAGGATAATTACCGTCTCAGGATCCCATATTTTAACAATATGTGTATCTGTAGAAATTAATTTTGGTCGGTCAAAGTTCAGAGTACTATGCCACTTAATATCCAATATTGGGGAGCCATACCTGTATAACAGTAATGTAGTTTAAAAAAAATTAATAACTGAATCACGGAAAATTGAGCTCACAAATAACAAAGTTAATAAGCACCCTCACTTACATGTGGTCCTTGACTCGGATAGGAGATGAAGAACGCAAATCATAGATTAGCACCTGACCATGATCAAATTCATGAGATATTTTAAGGTGATAAAACAAAAATATAATGAAATGCAAGCATGATGAGATCATTCATCACAACTATGCATCATACCTTTCCTCCACTGCTTCCAACACCCATGAGAAAACCCCCACTCTCGTCAAACGATATTGCAGTAACTTCCTATATATAAGCAGAACTAATAAGAGTTCTAAACATTGAAATAAAATATCAAAAACTGCATAATAAACTTCTGCATTGATATTGAGGGAGTTATCAAAAAGCCAACTAACTGACAAAAAATTCAGGAACAATAAATTACAAATTATTGCTATAAAGTTATAGAAAAAATTATCAGAGATCAAGGACCAAGGATCAAGATCAAGCAGCAAATGTTACCTCATCTGCATCACCAGCGGTAGCAACAGCATTTATTCTGCCAATTGAAGCTTTCATTCTCATGTCAAAACATTGAACAGCGCCATCCTCACCACCACAAGCAACTAATCCATGAAACTTACTGAAACCATAGAAACAAATCATCCTTGAATGAGAAAATCTTGCGAGCAAATTGTCAAGAACATAAGAAAAAGAGGGTGAAATAGGAATAAATGCCCAAGAACCTTCTAGAAACCACATTCAGTGCAGGCGACTGTGTGTTAAGAGAGGATAGGAATCGTCCCTGTTGAGGAATGATATTCACCATCAACAAAATAAGTTATACATTTTTAGCCCAAAAAATAATAAAAACCCCAATATTACAAAATCACAGCTTAAAGCATGCATAAGCCTTTTTTTTTTTTTTGATAAGAATGGAAGGCCTCGCTAAAAACCCCCTTCTTGATTAAAGGAACTTAGTGATAAGCTCCTTAATCAGCGGAAGGAGGAAAAGAGTGCCTTAAGAACTTTATTGATAATATAATCTTACATAAGATTTAAACACTACATCACAATACATCCCATAAAACTTAACAACAATTTTATAATAGCCCATATCGCTGGACCAGAAAATCCAGTAACAGGTCCTTACAGTCAACCTATCCCTTTCTTAGCTAAGCTATCAGCCTCCCCATTTCTCGCTCTTGGAATCCACCTCACTGAATGAACCTTGCCATTTGAAAGAGTCAAAATCTGATTAACCAAAGACAAGTAAAAAAACAGGAGCCAAAGCCGGTGATTTAATCCATTCCACTACCGACTTGCAATCACTCTCAACAATCAATCTTCCAACCGAAACCCAAACTGAAGCCAGAAAAATTTCAATACCCCTTTTAATAGCCTTTAATTCAGCTAGCGGAGGAGTAACTTGGTCCACCTTCTCTGAAAAAGTCAAAAGCGTGCAACACTCCGAATCTCTCAATATACCTCCTATGCCTCCACCCGAGCCTCCAAGCCTAACAGCACCATCAACGTTCATCTTAAGAAAATCAACAGGGGGGGAAACCAACGCAGGTTATGACCAACTCTGTCTAAAGTTAACGAAAACCCATCTGCTAGAGATGGATTACCAATCAGCAAATCCTCCTGAATATTAACCATAGGAAACTTTGCTAAAAACCATTTTGATAACCTGAATCTAACTGTAAAGAACAAAGACATGCTGTCCAGGTTAGAACCTTCGAACACTATAGCATTCCTGGCTTTCCAGATTGACCAGAAGATAACACCTGGAATAAACTTCCATATCGTCGAGTTTCCCCTCAAATCACACCAGGAACTAAACAAAGCAGGAGGGTCTTGAGGAAGAACAAACAAATATCCCAGAAGCTAGCTATTTATTCCACAACTTCCAAGCAACAAAACAGGAAATAAATAAGTGTTGAACTGTTTCCTCGTGAATCTTGCAGAAAGGACACTGTATATCCTCCCCTAAAGAAACTCCTCTCTTAACCAACTCAGCCTTAACTGCCAATTTCTGATGTGCCAGTTGCCACAGAAAAGCTTCCACTCTCGGTGGAGCCAAACCCTTCCAAACTCCTTGTAGCCACACATCATTACTCCCTACCTCCGAGCCAATGTTTTCCCTGCATGATTTAACCGAAAACAGTCCATCTCCACTAGCAGACCAAGAAAGAGAGTCCTCCACCAACTCTGACAGTTTGACATCCTTAATTTTTATCATCAAAGCTAACCACTGGTCCAATTCCCAATCACTCAGATTCCTTCTAGTTTGGACATTCCACTCCCAACCACTCGGTCCATAGCTGCCAAACTCAACAATCCCCCCCTTTATTAATGGAAAGCACGTAGATTCTAGGAAAAAGTATTTTTAGAGGGACCTCATCCGCCCAAACATCATTCCAAAAAGAAATTGATTTCCCATTACCCACTTGCAGCTTCGAATTCAATCTAAGAAAGTTCCCTACCGAATCATTCTTAGAAAAATTATTAGCAATGCCTCTCAAGATCCATGAAGATTTCGGAGAAGTAACCTTTCCAATAGACATAGTGTTCCAACTCATCTTTTGCTTACTACACAACACCGATTTCCAGAGAGAGTTTTTGTCATTGGCAAATTTCCACACCCACTTGCCTAGTAAAGCCCGGTTAGTAAGATTCAAATCAAGGACACCTAGTCCACCACAGTTCAAAGGCCTGCAAACCGTGTTCCAATTTACCCAGTGAATCCTCCGCTTATCCCCCTTCTCACCCCAAAGAAAGTTAGCCATTAAAGAATTAAGCTTCTTTCCGATATTGCACGGCATTTTGAAAAGAGATAGAAAGAAATCGGCAAAGAGGTTAGCACCGACTTCAACAGGACTGTCCTCCCAGCCAAAGACAGACAAGACGCTTTCCACCCCGCAAGTTTGGAACTAAAATTCTTAAAGACCGGATCCCATAGAGCCTCTGTGTTTTTCCTTGCTCCCAAGGGAAGTCCCAAGTATTCTGTAGGTAGAAAACCAACCGAACAGCCCACTTGTTCTGCCCAATCCGATAACACTCCCTCTTCCAAATTGATACCGAACAGCTTACTCTTTGCTAAATTGAGGTGTAAACCTGTCATAATGCTAAAGATCCTCAGCACCCTTTTTACATTCTTGATCTGATTAATGGAGGCTTGACAAAAAATTATTAAATCATCGGCGAATTGTAGATGGGACAGCCTGGTAGAATTATCAGAATTCCCCATAATAATACCCTGGAATAAACCCCTCTCGATTGCTTTAGAAAGCATCAAATGTAACATCTCGCCTATAATGTTGAACAAAAGTGGAGAAAGACTGCAGCCTTGTCTAAGACCTTTTTCCATTGCAAACTCCTCAGAAGGAGACCCGTTAACAAGAATCGAAATAGAGGCTGTAGACAGACATTGAGTAATCCACGATGACCATCTGTTCCAAATCCCATTTCTTTCATTGCTCTAAACAAAATAGGCCATTCCACAGTGTCGTATGCTCTTCGGAAGTCAACTTTAAAAACTACCCCTTGCAGTCCTTGTTTTCTCCAGAAATCAATACCTTCGTTCGCAATGAAGGCGCAATCCAATAACTGTCTCCCCGGAATAATGCAAATTGGGATTGACTTATTATGTCGCCAACACAGCCACTCAACCTTTTAGATAATACTTTTGAGAGAATCTTGTATAAACTACCTACAAGGCTGATTGGTCTAAAATCCTCCACACTTTCCGGATTAGTCTTCTTCGGAATGAGTGTAATAAACGCGTGATTAACTCCGTGTTCCCATTTCTACCTCTGAAAAAATCCTGGAAAAACTTCAATACATGTTCCTTTAAACCCGACCAACATTTCTTGAAGAAGCCCATGGTAAAGCCATCCGGTCCTGGTGCTTTAGAACTGTCCGAAGAAGCTATCGCTTGCCATATTTCTTGTTCCGTGAACTGCTCCTCAAGTTTTAAAGATTGGAACTCTGATAGCATAGCAAACTCCAGGGATAAATCCTCCACACCCAGCGTTGACATAGAACTATAGGATTCCTTAAAAAAGGCCGCAATATGCAACTTAATAGATTGCGGATCTACAACTTCAGAACCATTGATCTTCAAACTAGTAATTTCATTTCTCCTACTCCTGTTTAGAGCAGTTAAATGAAAAAATCTAGTGTTTCTATCTCCATCTTTAATCCATTTCGCCCTTGATTTCTGAAACCAGATGCTTTCTTCAATCCTATACAACCTCCATAGATCAGATCTGAACTGCAGCAGATGCCCCCAGTCCTGTTGGCAGAGGTCCCCAGCTTGAGCTTTAAACTCAAGATTATTTATCTTCAATTCCAGATCTGCTATGGACTCAGAAATTCCATTGAACTTTCTGCCCGACCAACTTCTGATCGCTATTTTAGTTTCTTGAAGAATGCTGAAAATGCCCCTACTCCTTCTACTCCCCCTCGAAACATCCATGGATGATTTAACTATATCCTCAAACCCTTTTTCCTCTAGAAGATAGTTAAAAAATCTGAATGGTTTGGGGCCCCAATCAACAGTTTTTTCCTCCAAACAAACGGGATTATGATCAGATAAAGATCTCGGTAACAGGCTTTGCAGAACATTAGGAAAACTTATCAGAAAATCCCCAGAAATTAGGAACCTATCCAATCTGACCCAAGTAGAGGCTTCTCTATTATTACACCAAGTGAACCTTCCCCCAACCATAGGTAGATCGATTAAATTAGTATGATTCAGGAAATTTCTTAGAATAGCTATAGAAAACCAATTCTGTGACATTCCTATCTTCTCTGTCGGATCAAAATACACATTAAAATCACCCCCAATGCAAAGTGATACTGTTTGAGCAGTGACAAAATTCAGCAGTTCCCTGAAAAAATCCTCCTTTTCAGCATCAATACTTGGACCATATACATTAATAATCACACATTTATCACATGAATTCTTAAAACTTCCAAAGACAGCTATGAACCTGCTGCTTAAATGACTATTTGTAACTTCAAAATCCTTATCATTCCACAACACCATTAAACCTCCTGCAGACCCCACAGCTGGAACAACAGTCCAACTATTAAGAATACTTCCACCTATCCTTCTCCTAATAGCCTGAGAACATTTTTCCAGCTTTGTTTCTTGAATGAGAAGAATGCCTGGTTTATAATTCCTGACCATAGTAGCTACTGCTCTAGATTTTTCCTTTTTTCGGATACCCCTTATGTTCCAAGAAAATCTTCATCTTTACCATGTATATCTATGGAAACAAAACCTCAAAGCAAAGTAGCCGAGAGATCCCTACTCCCCCGAAACCACCCCTTCCCCACAATCAGCCAAACCTTTCTCCATATTAATTATTTTATCCAAAAAGGCTTTCTTCCCCTCTTTGAATGAGATCCCAAGCAATTTACTGACTTCCCATGTAGCCAGCGCTTCTTCTAAACATAAGGAAAAATTTGGAGAATACACAGTAGGGATACTAGCCACGTCCAGTGCTTCCCTAATCAGAATCCTTTTCTTTCTTCTAATACCAGTCCTTGCTTCTGATCCATGCTTATTCCCTTTAACACCCTCACCATCTCCCCGAGGAAGCTGTGACCGAACTGCATCTGCTTTCTAACTAGAACCATCATCATCCTGGGTCTCAATCGGGCTTCTCCCCGATATATTGGTAATAGGTAAAATACTCGAGGTAGGAATATTTCTAGACCTATTGTGATCAGACACCTCCAGTGGAAACATTGAACCATTTTCTCTGCTTGGATTAAACCACACCTTTCTACCTCTGGATCTTCTATACACTCTGGAGACAGGCCCTCTCTTCCACCCTCCCAAATGCAGACTCCTAGGCAGGTGATTGAAAGGACTCCAGCTACTAAGGCCAATAGTATGAGACTCCTTATAACAACCACTCTCTTGATTCATGTGCATCGACTTTTCTTCCCTAACCTCTTCTATACCTTCCTCACTACTAGCTTCTTTGTTCAGGAATGTTCCTTCATTAATCAAAACCTCATTGGATTTGTTAGAATCTTCTCTATGTACTGGCTGTAACCTAACGACTACCCCACCAGGAATTGGCTTTGGGAATAGATAAGAAGGATCATTAGCCTTTTTTTGCACATTTGATTTATCCGAACCAGATTGTTGCGGCTCCACCAAAGTTTCCAACCGGGATTCATTCCCCTTACCAAACCCCAAATTGGTTTGATTAACCCCAGGCCCAATAAAAGAAATTGGGTGGTCCTCACTCGAATCCACAGATTGGGCTGCCACACTTTCAACTATAAAATCATCTCTTAAACCCAGCCCTCGATAATCCCCTTTTAAATTCAAATCCCATCTGGTAATTCTGACATCATAGCACCACTATTTTGACTTTGTAGTTCCTGTGACAATAAATGCTCTTCACCTTTGCCGCCTACCATAGATGTATAGTTTTCCCCTACCAACCCTCTGACATATGTATCCCTAGAATCCTTAGCTATCAAGTCCAGCTTACCAACTCCAACTGAATGGTTATCATCTTCCTTCTCAGGTTGAGCGTCGTTACTGTACACACCATCTCCGGCCACCATAGATTTTTTAACTGCAAAGCTTTCCTGTTTAATACTAACCGATCCCAAGTTAATTTTAACCTTGAAAGAACGCCCATACGAACCCATATTAACAAATTCTTGTATGTCGAACGGACTGGCCACCTTCAGTAGAGCTCTTGCCACCGCCATATCCTCCCTTTTGATTGTCGACTCGTGAATACAGACCAACTTCCCCCACTTTGAAAGTAACTTTTCCAAGAAAGATTCGTTCCAACATAATAAAGGGATTCCAACCAGTTCAACTGAGCAAAAAGCCAACGGAACACCTTCTTCGCTCATAAGCGGATCAAGCCAATCAAACCAGAACAACAATTCCTCCCCTCTGCTCGTCCTTGCTTTTTCTAATTCTTCTACTGAGTCGAAAGTTAAGATACAAGAGTTCCATGTATAACCCCATTTAGCTCCCCTGACTATGATTCCATCACTAGCCAGCCCCTTCTCCACTAATTCCAGATCAAACTGGGATTTTATAATTCCAGTCAATGATCTTTTAACCCAATCATACTCATCTAATGGGATATGCATCTCCCATACATTTCTCAGTCCTTCTTTCTCTCCTGGACGACCCTCCTTAAACTCTTTGTTCCCCTGAACTTCCCTTTGCTCGTCATAAGAGACCAGCACATCCTTATATGTTCTTTCATCCCTCAATTTGCTGATCGACACTGACCTTGATCTTCTTCTCAAAGTCGTTCCTATTTTCCATTTACCTTCTACCCTTCTGACATCTCTATTATCCTCTTGCCTGGACCTCTGCTTCTGGTACTTAGCTACACCAACTGAGACTTTCTTACCATCTATCCAAATACCATTCAAATTTGCTATCGCTTTCATCAACCCATCTTCCTTCTCAAACTGAACGAAAGCAAACGTGTAGTTCCTATAATTCTGCTTGGTGGAGCTACTCGGAATGTAGACCCTAATAACACTACCATGTTGTTGAAAGATTTCCTTTAGTGTTCGCCAAGTTACCCTCTTACTCAGAAAGTTGACAAACGCCGTCCATTCCTCACCGGAGGACTGGCCGCCTATGGCACTCTCTCTCACTCTCCCTTTCTCTCTCTCACTCATATTATTTTGAGGCATGAGTAGATCCAAGTTCTCTACAACACATAAAGGGATAGTAGTATTCTATCCAAAAGTTGCAGCGTCAAAGACAACAGTACTAATCCCCAAACAAAATCAAGTTCTCTCAGCCAAACTTCCTTTCCAAGCATACAGCAAACAGATCACAGTAAAATGATTCTCTCAAGCTACTAAAAAAATATACTGGATAAATCTCCCACCAAAATGACCTAAGGGAAAGTTAACCATCTCTTCACCGTTATTGAAGAAGAATCAGTAAACAATAATAATTTTTCTCCCAAAATAAATTATCCAGGAACACAGAAATATGTAGTTGATAACATTGCCAGTCCACAAAAATAAAGAAAAAACTCAAAAACTTCTAAAAATTGATCATAAGTTCTTCTAAAGGACACAAAACAACTTTGTTAGATTTTTTTATTGCAAATTTGATTTGACATTCAATAAAGCAATGTTCTGTTGTCAACTAGCTATAGTTTCTTCTTGCAAAAATTCAACAAATTACTAACATCTTTTAAAAAAAAATTGCAGACAAGAATTGAAAAAGACAGTCGTAGATATGTTCTTTCGCAACTCCAAAGATGAGAAATCTCAAATGTTCATGAAGGCAGAAAGAGACCATAAAGAACCTGTCACTCACTAAACATTCTTAGTAATTTACCTGTTCTAAATTAATTCTGTATAGATCTGGTGATGAAGCAGCACAAAGCAAGTCACAAGACCAGCAATCATATGCCATATCCCTTCCCATCCTGTCAAGCATCAGATGGACAAGACAAACATCATTCAGAACATGTATAATTTCTTAGTCAATCAACACCATATGTGGTAAAGGTCTGAACAAATACACAAACATCTCAAACCAACGACTACATTCTTCTCGAGGATGAGTGGATGAAAACTATAAACAGACATATCAAGGGACACTCTTCTGAATATATCCAATAATTTGTCAGTGGCCACGCGTATGGTAAACAAAGATGCAAATACCCACAACTTCTTCTGTAAGGAAAATGAGGACACAAGTATAGAACGGATGTGAATCGCAATTGCAAAGAATTGCATATATTCAAATTCTTATTCAGGAACCAAGACATTGATCAAAGCAAATAAATAAGTAAACAACACTGACATTTTCGCCAAAAATAAAGATCAAAAGGAAAGAGCATAAAGTAAAGGCAAAGCACTATGAAACCTTGGAATCCGCAGACTGTAGTGCTTCCCGTATTTTGCATGTAGATTAACAGAACGATCAGCACATAGGAATGCAAGTTTTGAATAGTCATCAGCCAACACCTATACATACAGAAAAATACCAAATCAGTGTACCACACAGCATGAGAAAATTGTGAACAAGGGTAAGGAGATATTGATATTTGGATAATAATGTAAATTTGGTGTTCTGGTATTTATTATATGAGTTTCAGCACTTAATGCTACTCATAAACTAGGAAAGAGGGAGGGGGGAGGAAGTGTAGTATTGCATTAAAATGAAGCACCAACAAAGGTTGTAATTAGATGTCTACTCTTCTTCCTCTACCTTTTAAGAAACAAACAGTTATTTCAAAAAGGTTTAAGTGACTGTTGTTGTTCAATAAAGAAACAAGATGATTGCTATAGTTTCAAAGAAACATCAAACTGCTGCAAAAAAAAAGGTGATATCCTTTCAAAAAGCTGAGGAAAATACCTGAAAATCAATTATTTCGGAAACCAAGTGCCTCTCAAACTTCATTGAAAATTGCCTAAGCTCGTATACCTTCACTTGTGGAGGATATATACCTGAATGACGACAACGACTCAATCATGAGTGAATTTAAAAAAAAAAAAGGAGCAAAAAGGACGTAGAAGTGTGAAAGCTGAGCTGCAATGAACCTGAGGCAATTAGGTACTCCCCATCAGGTGTTATCTTGATTTTCGAGGTAGCGATTTCGAATCTCAAATCCTGAATCAACTCTAACCTCTCCGTATAATCTAGCATTAAGTAAACGCAGGGGGTAGATGTCATAAAATATAATTTCTTCATCTAAAAATAATGAAAATGAATTGATAGATGCTAACATGTAACATAAAAGTAAAAGAGTAAATAAGAACAAATGGGGTTTAGGGTTTTAATAGAAAGTTTAAATAAAAAGCTTACTCTTGTCTTTGCGGAGGGAGCGTTGCTTTTTGGGACCAAGCCAAGCAGCAACGGAGCGCTGGTGGGAAGAAATTGTGTACATCTTCACACCGTTAATGGAAACGGACTTCATCTTTCCGCCATGCGCCGCCATGTTTGCCCTTCTCTACTTCTCCTTTTTGTTGTTTTATGGGAAGAAACAGAGACAGACAGAGCAAATTTCAAGCGGAACAAGGAAATCACGGAACGAACGGGAGGGACTTCAAGCCTTTCTGCGGCTGTTGCGGCTGCTGCAAGAACAAACTGGAACTACATTTACTTATAGAGTTCAGTTTTTAAGAAAGGTGAACTATTTATTTGGGCTTTCGTAAATTCTGCCAATTGGGTTTGGAGAAGAAAACCCAATATAGCAAAAAGATAATCTCTTGGTCTTTTATGGGTTTTCATAAACAGAGAGATGAAGCCCATATGAAAAAATATGAGGGTAAATTACATGTTTGGTATCCAACTATCACTTTTATTTTCTTTTAATCACTCAACTATTTGTTTTTCAAAATCATACTTAATGATATGTTTTAGTTTCATTTTAGTCACTCGTTGTTAAAAAAATTAACAAAACTACTAACAAAACATTTAAAAAAAAGCTTCAATGATTACATGACATTACCTTATGATAATACATCAGTATCACTGTAAAATTTTGTGAAAACTATTGCAAATACCACTAAATTGTTTTCCATTTACTTGTTTATGCCACCAAACTTCCTATTTTGCCAATTATAGCATTGAACTTTAGTTTTACATTCAATTATATCACTCCATCGTTAAAGTCAATAACGAGACGATGACATGGCTAACAATTGCTAACATGACCTATCACACCAAAACAACATCATTTTGGTGTAGTTGTTTTGATATCTAAAACGACGTTGTTTTAGACAATAAACTTTAGGGGTGTATTGATTTTGCCACTTAACTTTTAAACAAATTATTTTTTAACATTGCATTTTCGACCATCGTCAATAGTCAATCAACGCCCATCGCCGGTCATATTTGTAACAAGATCGATAACAAAACATCCATTTAAATTTTAACGAAATCCACCCAAAATTAACAAAAATTCATTTAAAGTTTAACGTATTAATACTTTAATCTCTTTTATTAGTCGTCTAACGAGACTAGTTTTGAGGTGTGTTGCTTGTCTTCTCGAAAACAATGTTGTTCACCAATTAGATTTACGAACAAACACCCAAAAACCCATAAATCTAATAAAAGTCTCTAAACATATTAAAATATAATTTTTTTGTTTGTTTTCGCTAATTTTGAGTGAGTTTCTATGACACCCCAACCCGTATCCAACTCAAATATGGATTCTAAGTGCCGCATTGACTTTTCAAAACTTTGACTTTTAACAACAGTTGAAAAGAAAATTTTCTTTTGAACAGTATAACATTTTATTAAAGATAAAGAGTACACATTTAAATTCAACTGAAAAAGTATAATTCATAATTTACATAAATACCATAAAAATTACAATTACAAAAACTAATCATAACATTTTCATTTAAAGCAGGGATACATGCCAACAAATTATACAAAACGTAATAACCTACTATTTCAAATGATTCTGATTTGATCTTCACTGCCTATGTTGTCTTCTCCTACTCTTCACTCTTATGGTCTCTTTGAACCTACGTGGGAAACAATCCACACGCTAAGTCTTTAACTTAGTGACGCAATAAGTAACATAAAACATTTCTCAATTTAATATATAAAAACTTTCATACTTGAATATAATTTAGTTTCTAAACTTTCATTAAATCACTATAATCAATTTACAACTTTATTCTCTTAGCCCAATGTATATCACTGAGAATTCAGGATATCTGAGTACAATGAGGTTGTGCACAATTGTTGTCACCACAACTCATATAATTTGCACCGAAATGCCACGTAGAATTTGCCCCGAAGGATTGCGTAGAATTTGTCCCTAAGGACCACGTAGAAATATCCTGAAGGATCACACAGGTTGTCCCGAAGGACCACGTAGAACCCTCGACTATTGGCATTTCAACTATGCCCCTAATTCTCACATATAAAACTTTGGCTTTCACTTATAATTATTTTTAAGTTTCACCATTTAAAGTGTATCTTATTTGCATATAGAGCATTCTCGTAGATAATTTACACGTAGGCACTTCACATTCACATATCACATGTTCATATTCAACACAATTAACCATAAACTTACATTAACATGTAATTGAATAAAACATCATAAAATATTGCATAAAAGAATTTAAAATAGTTTTCGATCGAAAACTTTAAAGTTGGCTTATCGCAAGCCGTCCTCAAATCCAATATAAACAATTTGATTGCACTCACATTTGCCTCACTAAAGTCCTTTACTCTTATGTTTGAAACTTATAATATCGAGTTGTTCGAAAGGTTGATTTTGTTCAACGTCTACACCAAACAATCGAAAAATAAATATCGGAAGTTGAATTACTTATCCTAAATCATAATAATTTAATCTGCAAGAAACAATAAATTTTCTCATTTCATACTTAGTAGTATCGATACTCCCTTAACAGTACCGATACTTCCCTTGGTTGGTATCGATACCCCTCTTTGGTACCGATATCATTTCTACATACTAGAATTTTCAGCTTCAAAATGGTACTGATACCTTACTCTTGGTATCGATACTCCCCTTACAGCATCGGTACCCCAACAATCAATACTGATACTGATTCTTAATCGAATTAGCTTTGAAGTATCGGTACTATTCTTGTAGTACCGATACCCTTGCCCATATTTCATTTTTCCCACTTCGAATTTAACCCCAAAATCATCTAAATCCTTTACTTTTAACTCTAATTAATTCCTTAAACTCACTAATACTCATACTAATCACTTATCTTCACTAATCCTCTTATAACATCCCAATTTCTCAATAATATTCTTAAAACTAAAAATCATAGCTTTTTATCAAACATGATGTAATTTATTTCTAACACTTCATATCTCCTAACTAGGATGTTGACAAGTCAATTCTACCTTTAAAATCCATTTATTAACCAATTTATAATTTTTCACTTCCAAACCCAAATTATTCATTTTCTCATAACTTCTTATTAACTTAGTTTCTCTTTATTTCCAAGCTTCCTTAATCTTCTCTACCTCTTATAGGTTAAATATAAACCCATAAATTAAAGAAATCATCAACTTACTATAACTTACCTTAAACCAAAAGGTCACGAGCCCAAGAATAAAAAGAGAAAATAACTAGTTCCAAATAACTCTATTATCTCTTATCCACTTAATATCTTAATATAAACTTGATATAAAATCTATATAATGAAAAAGACCATATTGCCCTTATTCTATTCCTTCTTTACAATAAACTCCTAACACAAAATATTTAACCATTAATCCTTGAACTTATCACTTATTCAAATTACACTACCAAACTTTACATTTCTTACATTTTGATCTTCCACTCGATGTTTGGGGTATTACAGTTTCGTAGAAAAATAATCATACGAGGAGAATAAGATGTGAAATATGAACATTTTGATACAAAATTTATCGCAAAAAATGATCAATAATGGACGATGATTGGATACCAACGATGGGCGGAAAATGTAGTGCCAAAAATGTAAACAGTTTAAAAGTTTAGTGGTAAAATCGACACACCCATAAAAGTTAGCGTATAAAATAAGGTCGTTTTAAGTTATTAAAATTAAATCAAAATGATGTCATTTTGGTGGGACATGACACATCAACAACCGTTAGTCATGTCATCGTCCCGTTAATGACTTAACGACAGAGAGACATAATTGAATGTAAAACTAAAGTTTAGTAATATAAATGGTAAAAGTAAAAGTTTTTTTGGTATAAACGAGTCAACGAGTAAAGTTGAGTAGTATATAAAGTAGTTTTCTCTTGATCTTTTAATGTCAAATGATCAAAATGAAATCAAAACGTAACATTAAGTATGATTTTTAAACAAAAAATAGTTAGGTGACCAAAACGGAATAATACTAAAACTTTTACATACTAAATTTGTGGTTTACCCAAAATATAAAGATCATGACCACTTTTGTAATTTCAACACCCGGGCAAAATTTTGCACAAGCGGGAAAATAAAAGCAAAGTCGTAAATTCCGCAATTTTCAAAAAAACACTTTAGCATCGATCTCTCGTCGACGCTCTCTGAACTGAAAACAGTGGAGATCGGGAAATGGAGAGAATTCATGTGGCCGTACGATCGAGACCGATATCTTCAGAGGATGCAAAGACAAGCCCTTGGAGAATCTCTTCGAATTCCATTTGCATCCCCAATTACTCCACCAAGTTCGAATTCGGTTGTTATTCTTTCTTAATGATCCTTTGTTGCATTCTTTTTCTAGTTCATATTTATTGTTTATTGACAAATTTTCCCGAAATTTAGATCGGATATTTTGCGAGGATTGTAAGACTGGAGAGGTTTACGAAGCTCGTACCAAAGAGATTGTAGCTGCAGCAGTTCGTGGATTCAATGGTACCGTTCAATTGTTTTGATTAGTCATTTGCATTTTTCGTATGTCAAGAGTATGAAAGCACGAATATCAAAAGAATTTCTTTATGAGTTTTAATAAAATTAGGAATTTTTTTCATCTATTGTTTTTGCTTAAAAAATTGGCTCTCACAAGCAGTGTAAAGAAAGGCTATTTCAAATTTTCTTTGAATTTGGTTTTTGAACACGCTGGTAGGCTATTCCGGGGATGGATGTGGGATTTTGAGGTATTGTATACGCCAATTAGTAGGATTTATTACTTTCTGGGTCGGAAATGCTTTCTTTTTGCTAAAGTTTGTTGGAATCTTGGCATTAAACAAAGTAGCTTGAATCCGGTGCTCAAGTATCTATTGCATTTTCTTCGAGGTATCTATGATCTCTTTATTTGTTAGTGATGAGAGATTTGCTTGTAGTTGTGGTGTTAATGTTATCCCATGTTGGCTAAGGTTACAGACTTACAGTTTGCTGCTGTGGTATTACCCTCACTTATTGTCAGTTGGTTCTAGGACTCGGTAACATTTTGCTTTGGTTGTCATTTTTTGTTAGCCCAATCGGTTTTGCCTCACATATAGGTTTAAAATTTTCTGAGGCCTTGTGCCTTTAGGTGGGCTAGGTTGCATGCTTATCTGTACTCATTCCAAGAATTATGAGCATTTTAGCATGAGCCACCGATTTTCAGTTGGTTAGATTTTTTTTCTAATTGTAGGTAAAAGGGGTAAAAGAAAAAAAAGCTGCTCATGCCTTAATCCTGTAATTTAATAAGTCTAATCATTTGAAGTCAGCATGCCTGTTAAACAGTGCATGCTCATCTGATTTCAAAAATGATAAGTGAATCTTATGGTTTATTAACTTAACTACTTGTGTTGCAGGTACAGTTTTTGCATATGGACAAACTAACAGTGGAAAAACCCATACAATGAGGGGTTCGGCTGCTGAACCAGGGGTCATTCCGCTTGCCGTGCATGATTTATTTGACATAATACAACAGGTAGGCATGCGTGCTAGCTTTCAAAATTTTCTGTTATTTATATGTTTTGGAAATTGAATAAGCTATTTGGAAAATTCTGAATGAGCGCATTGAAATTAGAATTATATGTGTGACTATAATTACAGAACAAGTAAATTCATGGCATAGAAGAGATACTTATAGGTTTGAGGGGCAAGTTGGCGCCACTTTTCTAATGATCATGATCATAGATTATATTATTTTAGTTAGAGATTAACGAGTCTGTTGAGCTATTCAATGATTGATGTTCTTTTCACGAATATCATAAACCAGGGTTCAGAAGTGTACTTAAGATAAAAGGTGTCTTGGTGAATATTTCTCGAGGTAGAGTGTGCGCAATGCATGCTTGACTGAGAAATATATGCCTTTATCTTTTTTAAAGCTTTTCTAACATTGATTTTCTTTCTATCAGAACTCCTAAATATGTTGACTTCAAAAATCTGTGAGGTGTTGCATAAATAAAACCTCGTCTCAACAAACATTTAATATCTATGGCTGTAAGATACTGGCATGATGCAACAAAAAGAAAATTTCGTGGATACTGTATATTTGCTGTTTTTTGTCCGTATTGATGGTTTGACTACATAATTGGGCCTTAATAAAATATAATTACTTTGAAACTATGTTTCCTTACAGGATCTAGAAATAGTAGATCAGGTTTGCATTTTAGGTTATGTACTTCTATAGACGTTGTATGAAGTTAAATTTTTTGTATGTATTATCTCGTTCATCCATTAAACTTTTTGAAGCTCAAAATGTTTCCATGTCCATATTATCCATAAGGCATTCACGTCTTTGAGGCATCCATAAATGTTGCCAAGTTAGTCTTGTATCCTAGCAAGCTGTTAGTATATAAATGATGTTAGTATGCTAGTTTTCTTTTCTTTTCTTTTGTTTCAGGATGTGGATAGAGAGTTTCTTCTTCGAATGTCTTATATGGAAATATATAATGAAGAAATAAATGATTTGTTAGCACCCGAGCATCGAAAATTACAGATTCATGAAAGCATAGAGGTATTCAAATTCACCGTTAATATTTTCTACTTAATTTCCGTTTTCTTAGCAGTGAATAATTCTTTTCATAAATGTAGAGGGGAATATATGTTGCTGGCTTACGAGAAGAGATTGTTGCCTCTCCTCAACAAGTACTTGACTTGATGGAGTTTGGAGAATGTATTTTTTTATAAACTCCAATAAACTTTACATGCTTTTTTTATTTTATTTTTTAATTTTTTAGTTGAATTGTCTTTGGTGTTGAAATAAAATAAATAATGTCAAATTATGATGTAGTCGTTAAGATAAAAAAGGATAAAATTGTGAAATAGTAAAAAAAGAAGAGTTAGCTTATAAATATCTATTCCTCTTCTTTCATTACATTCTATTTATTTGATTTTCTCCTTTTTATGATCCAAAATTCAGCTCACAGGCATATTGGTGAGACAAATATGAATTTACACAGTAGTCGATCACATACTATTTTCCGCATGGTAAGTTATTAGTATTCCTTGATCTTAATTGTAATATGATTATAAATCGCACATTTGCCTTACTACTTACAAGACTACCCATGCAGATCATTGAGAGCCGGGATAGAACTGAAGATGGAGATGGAGATACAGTTAGTTCTTGTGATGCTGTTCGAGTATCAGTTTTGGTATGTCACTAAAATGAAAAACACATTTCTTCTTTTATGTCAAATAGATTGATAAAATGATTTGATACTTTTCAATGAATATTCTGTTTAGTCTTATTTATACTGATTTTCTTTCAACTTTTTTTTACTATTTTGCTTGTAGAATTTAGTAGATCTTGCAGGATCAGAACGTGCTGCTAAAACTGGTGCAGAAGGTGTTCGACTAAAGGAAGGTTCCCATATCAACAAAAGTTTGATGACATTGGGAACTGTTATTAAAAAATTGAGTGAAGGTGCTGAAAGTCAAGGGTATGCTCTTCTCAAATTTATTCAAACTAATTTGAAGTTCTATTATTTTTCAAACATTGATGACATTAAGAACATCTTGTAGGGGTCATGTTCCATATCGAGATAGCAAACTTACACGTATATTGCAACCTGCTTTGGGAGGAAATGCAAATACAGCTATAATATGCAATATAACACTTGCACAGGTAGTAATCTTTAAATTAGTTTGTAGTTGATATCATCTTTACGTGTATGTTTCATGAGTGCTATGTACATTCTTCGTTATATACATTATGAAGAGTCGAAGACTAAGACGGACAAAGTGGAAAAGTCAATCAGCCTCATATATGCGTACAAAACAACCCATTCTTAGGAATGACAAAAAATGCTGAATCCATCTTGTTGAGATTTGCGGAAGTTCGAATTGACAACCGAAAGAATTGTAAAGAGGGGTTGAATTTATTTTTGTGTTTAGGGAGTAAGGAGATTAGAAAGATAGACAAATTGTACAATGATTTATAGTGGTTTGACTTATCAACCAAATCTACATCCACTACCTCTTCATTTAAGATTTTCTAACAAATTCACTAATTTGTTCTTTATTTTTAAAGGATCAAGAGATAACCTTTACACTCACTAGTTTTTCAATGGACCCCTTTTACAGAAAGATAAAAAGAAGTAAACAAATAAACTTCTCAAAGGTAAGGTGTTTACTGTTAGAAAAGTCAAATTGGGGGGGCTGGAGAAGTCTAAATTTGGGGCGCCGAATTAGGTGGGTTGGCACCGAATTCGGTGCATTTATTAATTTTTTGGGGTAATTGCAACTTTAGTCATTGCAATTTTTAGGGTATTTACAAGATTAATCCCTAAGCTTCAACTATAAATACCTTAGCCCATTTAGTTTCAAAATCATTCCTAAATTATTCTAGCTCTCTCTCAAGTTTTTTTGTAAACACTTGTAAATTTTCTCCCTTTAGTAAAAGATCTGCAGCAGTCCGGAGACGTAAGCAAAATTGGCTGAACTCCGTTATCAATTTCGGGTATTATTTTTTCGCTTTTATTTCGCATTTTCACTAATCTGGTTATAGGAAAATTACTCGTTACTCGATTTAATTTCCCAACATTTACAAATTTAGCTCACTAAAACACTAATATTTACAAAAAAATAGAAAGATAAGAATTGAAAATTCTTCTCTTGTGTTTGAATGCTTGGATAGGTGTTCTAACCATTCTTCAAGTGTCTTGAACTTTTATTTATATGTTGGAATGAAGTTGTAGCCGTTTCTAGCCATTGGGGATGTTTTCTAGCCATTTGGGATGAAATCTCTGCAAAATAAAACTGCCCAAAACAAAGGGTATCGATACTCTTAAAGTGAGTATCAGTACTACCTTTGTTTATATTTAAATCAACTAGTCGTTAGGGCCTGATAGTATCGATACTACTATACAAAGTAGTATCGGTATAATTTTTGCATTATGGAATTTGAGTAATGCTGATAGTATCAATACTACCTAGTGAGTATCGATACTTTCCTTACTTTGTATCAATACCATATGAATAGTATCGGTACTGTTCATGAGATATCGATACTGTAAGAACAGTATTGGTACTACTTGTCCAGAAAATTATTTTGTGCTCGAATCCACTTTTAAGGATTTTGAATTAATTTTTAAAAACTTTGAATAAATTTAATTCAAATTAAAAAACATTTTGCCTTAATTGTTATATCAAAATATAGTTCAACACATCTGGTCTTGGATTGCACTGACTCTCTAGGGATGTTTTTATTTATACATCTTTTCAAAATCAGGTTTAAATTAAAAAACATTTTGCCTTTTATTTTTATAATTTCTTGATTTTATAACAATTTGTAGCATATGCTTTAATTTTATAAATATTTGTTCATATATTTTAATTACAATTTCTGAATATAACACGATTGTTTAATGTGTATTTAGTTTAGTTTTATTAGTTTATAGGACATTATGTAAAATTTTGGGACGAGTCAGGTTGGAATTGGAGAGTCTTTTCAGAGTCAGGCTTGAGGGTTAATGTTTTAGATAACATTTGGGGTAGGTAGATTTGTGCATATATATCTAACACCGGGGCGGGGCAAGAGATACCTTGTTCATCACCAGTTCTATTTATTATGAATTTGGATGTTTCAACTTTTTTTGGTACTTACAATATGATTATTGGGTTTTGTTTACCTGCAATCCCACCATTTAGTCAATCTCTTTTAATGGCAGATTCATGCAGACGAGACTAAAAGCAGTCTTCAGTTTGCAAGCAGGGCATTGCGTGTTACAAATTGTGCTCGTGTGAATGAGGTTTATTTTAAGTTTCCTTTTCACATGTATTCTTGTAGCTGGCTTTGATGGTATTTCCTAGAACTCAGTGTTGTTAGGCCAAGTTCCTAATTCAAGGCTAACATGTATGTATGCTTAAAAACTTTCTTTGTGTTAGATTTTGACTGATGCTGCTCTGCTAAAGCGTCAAAAGAAAGAGATAGAGGAGCTTCGAGCCAAATTGCAGGTTTGCCACTATATCCGTGCTCTCCTTGATGTATGAAAAAATTCTTTCTGGAATAGTGACTCAAATGTTTTGTTTGTTCTAGGGTTCTCGTTCAGAACATTTGGAAGAAGAGATTCTCAATTTGCGAAACACATTATTGCAGGTATTAGTTTTCACCTGATGTTCTACTTATATTTCAAAGAATATTTGAGCATGTTATGGAAGTTGCTAAGCTCATTTGACAGTCTGAACTTGAGAGAGAGCGGATAGCTTTGGAATTAGAGGAGGAAAAGAAAACACAAGTAGAACGTGAAAGGGTGTTGCAAGAGCAAGCTAAGAAAATAAAAAACTTGAGCTCAATGGTCTTGTACTCAAGTAGAGATGAGAGTCGAGATCAGGTTAAAAAGGTTTGTCTAAATAACTCTACCTTTTTTTCTTTTATAGATAAGTAACTCCCACTTTCTTTCATTCTGCATGTTATTTGCATTTGATAAAAGCTCGTTGTTCTCTACTTTTTCTAGTTTACCTAATACTGTGATCATAAGCTCTAACAATCATGCTAGGGAGTAGGGCCTTTCCGACTATATTAGCTGATTAGTTCTAACATGTAAAATGAGGAATGTGAAGGATTTCGCCAGTGGCCATCTATAATGAAAACCTGAATTGAAGAATCATTAGTTTTGTATGATAAGTATGATACTCTAAAAAGGGAATCAAATACACAAATAATAGTTAATGGAAATGAAATACCATCTTTTGAAGTTTTTGTTAAATTGGTTTGTAGATTTCAAAATGGTTGACTAGGCTTTTGAATTGAGTGAAGTTTAAATTGGCGACGGTGGTTCTGAGGACCTGTATTGGTTGTTATCCATCTTCTGTAACAAGCTAATACTATTATACCTTCTACCGCCTCTTATTATAAGGTCAACACCAATGTACTTAAGTTGATTTAAGTGTGTCATTTTTTAAATTGATTTAGAAACCAAGCTTTATTTTTTTTCTGTTTTGTCTTTATTTACATTAATGGTTCAATAAACAGATAAACATGTAGATTTTTGTTGATGCCTTGCTCACATGTCTTCACTAAGCTTGTATGACATTATACTTGATTCAATTATAAGTTAAACAGTAGGATAACATATTTTTAGTATGAATCAAGTAGATTGCGTGTGTTCCTCTAAAATGAGAACTATGTAGTGGTTTGCCTTGGACGATTCAATATATGTGTTGTTAGTCTGGATTTTTTAAGTCCAAAGGTCCTAATCAAAGATTCCAATTCATTTTTGACGTTATTATTACAAATTTAACTAAAATTACAGTTCTCAGTTAATCTTAAGATTATTTAAAAGATTGAATTTCAGTTTCTAGATTTATCTAAAGTCCAAAAGAAGAATTTAATATTCGAAGTTATAAGTAAAAATATTAAAATCCAAATATAAACTTAAATCCCCCGCACTGCCTAGAGAATTTTGGGGTTATGTATTAACTATCTCAATTCTAATGGAGTGCTACTTTGAGTACATAAAGTACAGGCTTGCAGATAAAGTTTGAAACTGCCAAATATCTTACACAAATCAATGTTTAGTACCTTAGCATTGCTGGGTAGTTGTTGGATGTATAATGTATATACCATGGCTAGTCTTCTCTCATATACATGCATACCTATCTTGCCTAGTCATCTTAATTCTTGATCGAGTCATTTGCTTGTGTTATAGGGAAAGAGGCGAGATACATGGTGCCCTGGGAATCTTGCTAGGGAGGCTCTTAAGGAGGTAACTTTTATGTTTCTTGCTGCTATTTGGGTAATATACTTAACTAGGGCATCGCAATATACTGCATTTTTAATTTTCTCACTTGGATGTAATAAGATTTGGAAAAATTATTCTCAATGTTCTTTAATCAATCTTTTTGCATTGGGTGCATGCTAACATTATTTTTTTGTGCTTTAGGCCTACCCAAGTGTTCAATCAAACTCATCTGCAATTAAACCGATTCAATCTAAGCGTTCTATAGGGCCACTTCTTGCTTTTGAGGAGTTGGTGAATGAAAATGGAACTGAAGATGACTGGACATGCAAGCAAGATGAAGATTGTAAGGCTACTTTCCTGGAAGATTGTACTCTTCCTGAGCCGTGCGCTTTACTGCACGTGACCAACAGGAGAAAAGTACCACCAAGAAAGAAAAGCTCCTTTGTGGTTTGTACTTTGCACCTCTATGTAAATATCCTTGAATTGAACTTTGAACCCTCATATAAATTATTCATTCAGGATGACAGTGAACTACAGGAACTGCAAGCAGAATATGAGGATTTGCTTTTAAAATTTGAAACTCAGGTTGCTCAATATTCTTGTTAATTCATAAAGAATTAGCTGAAAAAGTCTGTCATTCTATATTCTGATTCCTTTTTATATGCAGAGAACAATGAGTGATATACAAATTGATTGCTTAATGAGAAAGATGGTTGAGGTTGATTCCCTTGACAATATAAAACATAGCGAGTCTAATGACCTTTCTTCATTTCATGCGAACAAAACAAATTATGCTGACAAGAATATTGGTTTGAGGGAATTTGAAGCTATCCTTGTGATCAAACAACTCCAAGAGAAGGTTTATTTTATTATTTTTCATAATTATTTCTCCCTTTCCTTAAAATGTGTTGCATTGTAATCATCAAAAATTTCTAGATCGTTGGTTCATTTTTTGTTTGTCTATTTTATACCTTTCAGATTAAGATACTGGAAACAGAAAAGTCTTCAAGCCAAGAAAATCTGAATTCTCTTGTCGAAATTGCCACGGAGCAAAATATATGTGCAAGGGAGAAGTTTGATGAGGTAATAATTTAACCAATTATTCATGACCATATCATGCTTCTTATCCTGTGGGTAGCGAACAAGATATTATCTTTAATTTTTATGATTTGTAATCTGCTGAACTTGTCTTAAGGAAATCTGTAACTTTTTCATGAGCTAGTTGAAAATTGGTAGTGAAGCTTCAAGTATATTTATGCTGCCTGAGCCCCCTGTTTTGCAGCTCCTGAATTCACGAGTAATAGTAATAATGAAACCTATTAAGAAAAATATTGAAATTTAGTTTTAAACCTTGTACATCTTTTTTTATAGATGCAGGTTATTTAGTGAAAATTTATGGTTGCTGCTTTCAGATTCTAAAAGCAACATGAGATGCTGCTGTAAAGCGCTCTTATTAGTCATTGTATTCACGATTTGAAGGATTAACTGATTTGACGTGTTTCATTAGGAAACTGTCTGTATAATTTGTGGACTACTTTTCTATGGAGCCGATGTGTGCATATTTATAATTCATTTTCTAGTTGGAGTATTTTCAGGATCAAAGGCTAGTCATTGAAGTTTAATGACTTTTGTATCTTCACGAAGCTTCCAATGATGACAAAGATCATCTTTATCATCTTGTTTAGATAAAAGAGGTTCTTCACATATGTCTACCTGTAGACTTCTTTAGCATCTTTTGCTCAGTGATTAAATCAAGGGTATCAAGAAGTAGTTTTTCATTGATTGTAGTTAATTGGATGGATTGTTAGATTTTGATGATTTTGTCTATGTGCATGTATTTCAAATGTTTATGCTAGTATCACCTTTATCATTTAAATGTTAACCATTTTGACTTTTATGAAGCTATGTTCGGGTTTTGTTTTCTTAAATCTAGCTTCAATATAGTTTTTGTTTGGTGCGATCTTTTATAGCTTTGTGATGAGCTTCTTACTGCACGGGAGGAGGCTAGAGTGGCTCGTGAAAAACTTGCTTACAGTGAATCTGGGGAAAGAAAGAATGTAAGTATTCTGGAAATCATTCATGTATGTTTATATAAGATTCTACACAACCTTTAGTATATGCACGAGTGTCTTCTTTTTTTCATGCATTTTCCCTTCTCTCTTTTTAATAACATCCGATATCTATAGTTTCTATATCATGTGTAAATATTCTCATGTCAGAAGCTCTGTGGATTTTGATTTTGTAGGGGGATTGTGATTTTGCAATTGAGCTTTCAAAGGAAGTAGAAGATCTGATTTCTGAAGCTCAAGAATCGAAAGACGTAGCTCAAAAGCTTTCATCCCTTGTGGACGAGGCTTTTCAGAGTTTTTCTGCTATAATTAAGGAATTTGTTGTGAGTAATCCTGCAACATCTTAGGAGAACCGCCCTTTCTTTCAACTGTTAGTGGTTTTTTGAATGATAATTCTAAATTTGAAAGAAAACCGTTGAAGTCAATATTTCTACTATTTGTTCCCGCATCCTATTTCCATCTCACTGTTTAGTTTTATGCATCATATCCAGGATTTCAAGGATATGATGTGTCAGAGTTCTGCACAACAAAAAATAATTTTTGCTAACACCAAGGAATTACACAGTTCTCTGAGGCAAAGGACTTTGAAGCTCGAAAATGATAAGGTGAGACATTGCTTTCACATTCGCAAACTGTGTTTTCTCTGAATTGGCTAGTACCTTATATAAAATCATTGTGGCTGTTAGCATTCCAAGATAATATATGAGCTAATGCCTGGTTTGCAGCTTCTCTTGCACAACCAATCTATCGATCTGCAGAAGCAAGTGCAGGAATTAAGTGAAAATGCTAAAAATCATGAAGCATCCTTAACAGTGAGATTTTTATGCCATTTAACTTGTTACAATATACGCAGCATCTATGAGTGAAAATACTGTTCTCCGACATGGTCAATCTTGTTTCAGGCACTCTCTGAAAGGCATGACATGGAAAAATTGGAGTATCTTTCTCATATTCAGAGTCTCGACAAGGAAATATCATATTTTTCATCAGGTTCCATGGCAAGAGAAAATCAGAGTTTGAGAAAAGATCTTGAAAAAACAAAAATGAAGTTGAAAGACATTGAATCAAAGCTTAAGAATACCATCCAGGAGAAGACAAAACTTGAGGTTCCATGCAAATTGTTTTGAATTTTAAAGTTTGACTTAACTAATTTACATTTTATATTAACCTGCTTTCACATTTCTAGGGGGAGAAAGCAGTTGCTGAACGAGAGATCAAGCGATTGCTTGGTCAAAAGACTCTTCTTGAGCGCGACATCAACAAGCGCGATTCACTAGCTGGTAGAAAACGTGATTCTAATTTTGATAGGAATGCAAAGATGTTTGATCCAATAAAGGCAAAAGCTCTTGAGCAGACAATGCAGGTGACATGATGCATTTTTCATAATTCTGTAATGAATGTCTAACTGCGAAAACCAAGTAATTAAATGTGGTAATTCTAAATGGAAATTAAACACAATCTTTTTCTCTTTAAATTTTTTTCATAATGAACTTGTTTTTCTGGCGAGTCCAATTTACAAGAACTCATTGAAACCTGGCAGTTCTGTTTTTTTTCCTAATCCTTAAGTACTTCTATGTGATCTTTTAATATATCAATCTCTTCATGACACTACCATGCAGGGTTTTTCACGTAGTGTCATAACTTTATAGTATAATTTGGAATGATGACAAAAGTGTCTTAATTATTTAATGTGCTTGATTGTGTTTCATAGTCATTATGATAAGTTTCCAAAACTATGAAGAAAGTATACCTTTCTAAAGCTTGCAGTTGCAGTTTGTTGCTAAAACATTTAAGTGTGAAGAATACTTAAAATGTATTTTATGCTCTTAGGAGGATTATAAAAAGCTGGAGGTTCTTGCTTTTGAAATGGAGACAACTATAGCTTCCTTGGAAGAGGAATTAGCAGCTGCGCACAGGGACAGGGAAGAGGCTATATCCAGAAGTGAAGATTTGACCATAGAATTTGAGGCCCTAACTAAAAAATTGGATAAATCAAGCTCAGAATTAAATTCTCTGCGAGAAGAATTCTCTGGCCTTGTGAGCTTCCTGTGCTTCCCTCATTATATCCTTTTGGTTTCTCAATTTTTTTCTCTCTTTAAGGTTAAATGGTAGCAAAATTGGATATTACTCTTCGAATATCAAATGTGGCATTCTCTCACTTCACAGAAGCTTTGTTTGGAACAATCAAATTCTAACCAGCAAGGAATGGAAACCTCCATTAAGAGTTTGCTTGCCGAAAAGGAGGAGTTGGCAATGGTAGTCTAATATACTGTTGGTTACAAAGAAAACTTAGTATTTTCTTGTTAATTTTGCCTTTGGTAGTCTAGTTGTGTTCATTGGACTGTGCGTTTGATCTTGCAGCAACTCACTAATTCATTATTGGAAATGGAGGAAGAAAGGGCAATACAGTGTGCTAAAGAAAATGCTTCAATTGAAGCCATAGAAGAGAAAAAAAAGTTATACAATTCTGAGATAAAGTCTTTATCAGAAAAACTGTCTGAGGTAAGTTCATAGAAGATTTTAGAGCTTTGGATGCATTACTGAAAGGGACTTTGTTTTTTCGTAACCAAGTTCTTATTGATGTGCAATCATTTAATTTTAGAATGTGCCATTTTCCTATATCATTTGATCTTTCTTCATGCCATCCCTTTGCATTCCAGTTAACATGATGCACGTGGAATTTGTGATTTGCAATATCTGTTTGGATATCTTTTCGCATCTTCATGACTGGAATCTCCTTATGTTGTGTAGAATTAGTTAGGTGGACACCAAAGGTCTTAATCTCTTTCATTCACTATCTTATTGATAAAGTGCTCTTGCTTTGATGATCCAATTTCATTTTATGGTAATGTTTAATTCTTAGTACTTTTGCTGTTGAAGATACATCTCAGTGAAAATTGTTTCCTTCCGCATTTAGACCTGCATCACGTTCATATACTGACATGTACTGTGAATGGCCTTCTGATTGCAAGTGTGGGATTGATTAACCCTTGCATTCATGGTATTTTGTGTGTAGTTTTGCAGGGGTGGGTTTTATTAGTGACATTGTCGATTGGTGCTTCATCGAAGTGTCTTGTGTATTGGTTGGCAATTAAACAGGACTCAGATGTGTCATTTTTTGTTCTTATTGAATGTGACTAGGTTTCTTTTACCACCTTTTGCTAGATATGATGATTAGGTTTAGGTTTAGCTTGTCAACATATCTGACTTAATTTGCTCGATATGATAATTTGTTCTAATTCCATAATATTTTTCTGTCCCACCAAACAAGGCTTATAGTCAATTAGTCATATATAGCCAACTATATTTTTACTGCTAATTTATTTTATACTTAAGTATGCCATAGTTTATTTTGTAGTAGTTTCTCCATTACTAGCTCTCTACTCCTATTTTAAAGGTACTTTTGTGCCCTTCAGCCCAAATAACTGCCTTGATTTCCTATTTGTTTTGTGGGTATTCTTTGCAACAAATCGTGGTATTGGATTTTAAAATCCAGAATGTATATTTCTTAAGCTGATTATAATTTTGATATATACAAGGTGATGGAAGAATTGGAGTCGTGCAGAAATGAATGCGCTGTCCTCAGGGAAAGATTGACATGCTCCGATGAAAGTGCTGAATTGGAGAAAAAATGCAGGTTTGTCTCCTGGATTTCTTTATCATACGCTTTTAATCGCAAGTGCAACTTGGAAAGTTCCATTGATTTCTATTCAAATGATTTTTATGTTGAAGTTGTTTGGGATTTAGAAAGTCATAATCAGCTTAGTCTCTGGTTGAAATCATTGTATTCAAGGTTGCATCAAATATTTTCGTGTTATGTTGTTGCTATTAGGAGGCTTAATAGTTGCATAGCTAGTGAGTTTTTTTTTTGATAAAAAAGAAGGCCTCATTAAAACCCCCTTCATAACCGTCAAGCAACAAGAGTGCTCAACGGACATTGGAAGGAGAAAAGAGGGCCTCAAAATTTTATTGCATAAATTCAAGTACAAGAAGAATACAATACTACCAAACAACCTTGACTATCACCTCAACAATGAGCTACACTAAACTACAAAAACACAACAATTACCAGCCCAACACAAAAAATTATATCCTAAAAACAATCAACCAAACGTAAGCATAGCATAATTATCAAAATGACCAAAATTCCCCTTATACAACAAACTCAATGCAACAAAAATACCCTAACCAATTAGCCTATCCCCAACTTAGCAAATTCATCCACTTCCCAATTCGCTGTTCTCAACACATGCCTAACAATAACACCTTTATCAACCACAATCGAAACAATATCTTTAATTATGGACAAGAAAAAAAAGGTGGTGGCAGTAGGATTCTTGATCCAATCCTCAGCCACAACACTATCGGATTCTAAAATAAGTCTTCGATTCACCGACATTCCCGACTCCAAGAAAAGCATCAACCCTCTCTTAATTGGAGGGCCATAACCAACTCTCTTAGAGAACGATCCCAACACCACACCTTTCTCATCTCTAAGCAACCCACCGATACCACATTTCAACCACATTCTTGTAGGTTATGCAATAGATAAGTTAGTATTTTAATATAACACTAACTCTTAGAAAGTTAGATAGATAAGGATAACTACTAAGTAGTGTACTTCTAATAGAAAACTTACTCCTAACTTTTCCTATAAAAAGATGTATTTTCACCATTCACAACATATAATAAAAAGAGTTCCTTTTCTTCTCCACTATGTTGTTTACTCTTTATCAACATGGTATCAGCTAGATGATCGATTCTTCACCTAAATCTAGCCGTTTTTTTTCTTTTTCTTTTTTTACCCTAAATCTAATCGTCGATCATGAATTCCACCACTTCTTCATCAGAGGTCACTTCGGAAATCCTCATTAATTCATCCCATTCTGATGTTTCTTCAGCCTCTATCACCTGTCACTGATTGAATGGTGACAATTATATCCCTCACTCTCAAACTACTACTCGGCCAAAGAAGGGGAGACCTTGGTGTGACTAGAAGGTTGGCCATCTACGGGATTCCTGTTGGAAATTACATGGCAAGCCTACTGATGGGAAGTCTTCAAAACAACATCAACAACGTGATACTCAAGAAAACTGTGTTGTGAATACTGATTTACAAGGAAGTTCATTTACTAAAAAACAAATGGAAGAGTTGTAGCAGTTTTTTAGTCAGTTAACACTCATTCCCAATCAGTACCTGTAGGTAGAATTCCTTCTGCTACTTTGGCTAATACATCCATCACTCCTACTTGGGTTGTGGATTATGGTGCAAGTGATCATATGACAGGTGATCTTCGGCTCTTTCACACTTTTCATGCCGACTCGTCTATCTCTCATATTCGAACAGTTGATGGTTCTATATCCGGTGTTGTCGATCATGGGTCTATTCGAATAAATCAGGACATTTTGTTATCTCATGTTCTTTATGTTCCCAATCTTACTTGCAATCTTATTTCCATTAGCAAGTTGTCTGCCGATTTATGCTGTATCACGAAATTTAACTATGATTTTTGTGAATTTCAGGATTCTAGCTCGGGGAAAGTGATTGGCAGTGCTAGGCTTTGTGGGGGTCTTTACCTACTTCCAGCAACTTTATTTTTCCACCCATCTACTTCCTACCATGTTATACAACAATTTCCTTTACTTGAACCTTCAACCGATGTTATGTTATTGCATTTTCGTTTAGGACATCCCAGTTTCTTTTATCTTGCAAAATTGTTTCCACATTTGTTTGTCAATAAGAGTCCAAAATTTTTTTCTTGTGATATTTGTCCACTTACTAAACAAACTAGGAGTGTTTATCTACCTTCTCCATATAAACCGTCCAAACCATTTACCATGATCCATAGTGATATTTGAGGACCATCTTGGGTCGCATCTTTACATGGGTTTCGGTGGTTTATTCATTTATTGATGATCACACTCGTACTACCTGGACCTTTCTCATGAAAACCAAATATGAAGCTTGTGAAATATTTAAACGGTTCCATAAGATGGTTGAAACCCAATTTCAGTGTTCAGTCCAAATGTTTCATTCTGACAATGGTAGTGAGTATTTTGCCAATGTTTTGGGTTCTTTCTTTCAGGAAACCGGGATTATTCATTTTACTTCGTGTGTCAATTCTCTTCAACAAAATGGGATTGCTGAGCGAAAAAACAGTCATCTTCTTTAGGTTACTCGATCTCTACTTTTTTCCACAAATGTTCCTAACTATTTTTGGGGGAAGCCCTTTTAACTGCCACTTATTTGATTAACTGTCTCCCTAGTAAACCGTTATAATTGAAGTGTCCGAGAGATGTTTTTCTTCAGTTTTTCCCAATTTTAAACCGATGACTTCATTGTTACCCCTTAGAGTTTTTGGTTGTATTGTGTTCGTTCATAACAATGTTCCTTTCAGGTCCAAATTAGATCCTCGAGCATTTCGGTGTGTGTTTCTAGGTTATTCATCGACTCAAAAGGGCTTTCGGTGTTATTATCCTCGTACAAAGAAATTCTTTATTACTATGGACGTTACTTTCTTTGAAAAAACACCTTTTTTCCTTAAAACTGCTATTCAGGGGGAGTCATATAATGAATATCAGTTTATTGACTCACAACAATTGTCACTTGATTTGCGGCCAGCTCTTTTTGATCAACCAACACCGTCAAACCAGTTAAACTAGTCGAATAAGCCTACAAAATCGCTACAGCCAGACCAAACAACACTACCGAACCCAAAAAACGTATCCTTGCCAAACTAGTCCACCGAAACACATTTACCTCGGCATGATCAACATATCACTTCGTCTCAAATACCTCAATCCGAGTTGCAGATTTATAAAAGACGACAAAAACTAGTTTCTAAATCAATCCCTGAACCTAATCCCGAGTCTCTCACACAACATGAAAACTGTCATGAACCGGAACCGAACGAGAAATCTTTGAAGAATGAAGAAGGTAATCAGAGTTCTTCCACTGAATTAAATGTTTTAATTGATGATAATGACTTGCCGATTGCTCAAAGGAAATGAGTAAGAAAATGCAGAAATTATCCAATTGAGAGATTTGTTGCATATGAAAAGCTAACGCCTTGTTTTAAGAACTTTACAGCAAATGTAGATAGCATTACTATTCCAGATACGGTGGAAGAAGCATTGAAAGATCCCAAGTGGAAAAAGGCAGTAGAAGAGGAATTAAAAGCAGTGGAAAACAACAATACTTGGATTATAGTTGATCTTCCGAAAGATAAAAAACCAGTCGGCTGCAAATGGGTATTCACGGTAAAATACAAAGCTGATGGTAGCATTGAAAGATATAAGGCGAGATTAGTGGCGAAAGGATTCACTCAATCTTTTGGACTTGATTATCATGAAATGTTTGCTCCGGTAGCAAAACTAAACACTGTGAGAGTGTTACTGTCATTAGCAGTTAATGAGAATCGAGTGCTTCATCAGTTAGACATCAAAAACGCATTTCTAAACGGAAACTTGGAGGAAGAAGTATATATGCGAATTCCACTGGGTGTGAAGAGTAATACAGAAAAAGCATGTAGATTACTAAAGTCCTTGTATGGATTTAAGCAATCTCCAAGAGCCTGGTTTGACATATTTACAAAGGTGATTATTCAGGATGGTTACAAGCAATGTCAATCAGATCATACTTTATTTGTCAAAACATCTTCAAACAACAAAAAGGCAATTTTGATTGTCTATGTGGATGATATCATTCTAACAGGTGATGATTGTATAGAGATAGAAATATTGAAAAATCTACTGGCGAAGGAGTTCGAAACCAAAGACTTGGGAACTTTACGGTATTTTTTAGGCATGGAGGTTGCAAGGTCAAAAGAAGGAATAGTGATCAACCAAAGGAAATATATCCTTGATCTACTATCAGAAACTGGAATGAAGGGATGTAAGCCAGCTGAAACACCCATGGAAGCAAATCTGAAGCTAAAGAGAGAAGAATTGGGAAGTCCTGTGAACAAAGAACAGTATCAAAGGCTAGTAGGTAAACTAATTTATTTATCACTTACTAGACCTGATATTGCGTTCCCTGTCAGTATAGTGAGTCAATATATGAATGATCCAAGAGAAGAACATTTACAGGTTGTGAATAGAATTCTAAGATACTTGAAAATGACATCAGGACATGGATTAATTTTTAGAAAGAGTGATGATAGAACAGTAAGAATTTTTTCGGATTCAAGCTGGGCAGGTGAATTAACGAATAGAAGATCTACAACTGGTTATTGTTCATTTGTTTGGGGAAATCTGGTTACTTGGAGAAGCAAAAAACAGGCGGTGGTGTCTCGAAGTAGTGTAGAAGCAGAATTTAGAGCAATGACACTTGGAATTTGCAAAGGAATTTGGCTTCAAAGAATGTTAATTGAGCTGGGGTTATGTGCCAACAAATGGTTTGAACTTCAAAGTGACAGTAAATCTGCAATAAGTATTGCAAAGAATCCAGTTCATCATGACCGAAAGAAGCATGTAGAGATTGACAGACATTTCATCTCCGAAAAGGTGAATGGTGGAACGGTGAAGCTCAATTATGTTTCAACGAAGAATCAGTTAGCATATATTCTCACCAAAGCACTTCCAAGAATTACCTTTGATGAGATTATATCCAAGTTGGGTCTATTCAACATTTAGTCCCCAACTTGAGGGGGAGTGTAGGTTATGCAATAGATAAGTTAGTATTTTAATATAACACTAGCTCTTAGAAAGTTAGATAGATAAGGATAACTACTAGTAGTTTACTTCTAATAGAAAACTTACTCCTAACTTTTCCTATAAAAAGATGTATTTTCACCATTCACAATATATAATAAAAAGAGTTCATTTTCTTATTCACTATGTTGTTTACTCTTTATGAACAATTCTATCTATAGCACCATCCACGTTCACTTTACAAAACCGATTGGAGTCAGAGACCAGCTCAACAAATTTGAAGGGATCCTATCAAGATTCGAAACAAGATCAGTTAATGAAGGATCCCCCACTAGACTATCAAAAGAAATCAACATGTTTGGAAATTTTGAGGTAAACCATGCTGCGAGAAAGGATAACAGGGCAAAATCTAGCTTCTCTTTGTTAAAAACTATCTAATTCCTCATCTTCCAAATTGACCACAAAATGACTCCTGGTATGAACCCCAAATAGTTGATCGAGACACAAGGCCAAACCAATCGGAAATCAATGTTGTAGGACACTCAGGAATAGCAAAAGAAACCTTCCAAAACCGCAAAAAGCTCACCCATAAACCCCATGATATTTTAAACGAAACAAACAAATGAAAAACAATTTCTTGACCATCCCGCAAAATGGACAAGATGGATATTTAATCCCTTACACCCCACGATTAATTAAATCCACTTTGACTGCTACATTCTTGTGCCCTACCTGCCAGACAAAAGATTCGACCCGAGGAAGAGCCACACCAGACCACACGTCTTAACCACAAAAAATTGTCCTTTGAATTGTCAAGAAGGATTCAAAGATAAGATTTGATTGAAAAACGACCATCTCTTTCTCCTGACCACACAAGGTTGTCATCAATCAAAGGCGAGGGATTAAAATTATACAATAATGAAATAAGTTCATTCCATTGCTGCATCTCCCAATCGGCAAGATTTATTCTCATTGGAATGTCCCAAAAACAGCCTGAGGAGTTTGATTTCCTGAAATCATCAATCTTCCTCTCCTTGTTAATTGAAAGAGTGAACTATCTTGGAAAACACACAATGGAACTCCATCAATCCAAACGTCATGCCAAAACAAAATTGAATCCCCATTGCCTACCTTCATTTTAAAATTACTCTGCAAACAAACTCCAAAATCATCATTCAAACAACAATTTTAACTACCCCTTCCATATCGAAGATGCTTTGTAAGATGCCGAATTTCCTAACCCCATTAAATTAGGATCAATTTTGTTGTTGCAGCAAATAACCCTTTTTGAACTAGAGTTTTTCTCATTAGCAAATTTCCACGTCCATTTTCCCAATAACACTCTGTTAATAAGCTCTAAATTTGGAACCCCAAGCCCTCCCAAAACCTTAGGCTTGCAAACGATAGACCAGTTAACCCAATGAATTCTGCTTTTAGCAACCGAATCCCCATAATAAATTTCGCCATAATTGAATTAAGCCTCTTCAACACACAACTTAGCATTCTGAAAATTGAAATGAAATATGTTGGCAAGGAGCAAAGAACAGATTTTATCAACACAACTCGACTAGCAATAAACAAAGAAGTTTCCTTCGACCCAGCCAATTTCTTGTAAAACTTTTGTATAACCGAGTCCTATAATGATGCTGAATTTTTCTTCGCTCTAAGAGGTAACCCCAAATAATCTGTTGGGAAGGAACCCACTGTGCACCCTATTATAGCAACCCACTCACTAAAGACCCCTTCATTCATGTTGATTCTGTATCACATGCTCTTGGATAAATTAATTTGCAAACCAGACATCATCTCAAAGATCAAAAGCACCCTACTCACATTCTTCAACTCTCCGATCAAAGCGTTGCTAAAGATTAATAGATCGTTTGCAAATTGGAGGTGAGAGAGCTCAAAGGAATTACCCATACTTCAATCTCAAATCCTCTAAACAAGCCTAAAGACACAACCTTCGACAACATCAAGCTCAATAATTCATCGACCAAATTAAAAAGAAGAGGAGAGAGAGAGCAGCCCTGTCGAAGACCCATCGCAATCCGAAACTCATCCGAAGGAGACCCATTCACTAAAACCGAAATTGAAGCCGTAGACAAGCACATTTTCATCCAAGATCTCCATCTCTTCCCAAACCACATACAATCCATGATTTTCAGCAATATATTCCAATCAATTAAGTCATACGCTTTCTTGAAATCAACTTTGAACGTTGTTCCTTCAAGACCTTTTCTTCTCTAACAATCAATCCCCTCATTCGCAATAAACAAACAATCCATAATATGCCTCCCTGAAATGAAGGCGAATTGGGAAGGGCCAACAACCCAATCCATACATTGCCGTAATCTCCTAGATAACAACTTCGACAAATCTTATAAAGCCCTCTGACAAGGCTGATCAGTCTAAAGTCCTCAATACTTTTCGAGCTTGTCTTTTTCGGAATAAGGGTAATGAAAGAATGGTTTACCCCTTTATCCTATCTTTTTCCCACTTAAAAGCCACTGAAAAACCTCAATATTTCCACTTTTAAATTTGACCAGAACTTTTTGTTCGAACTCGACTTGGGTTAAATTGATTCAAATTCGAGCTCGACTCGAGACCTTAACGAGTTGAGTCGAACAAAGTCCAACTCGACTTGATAAGTTTGCGATCATTTCATTATATTTTAGTAGTTATCCTAAAAAAGTATTCAATTAAAAAAAGAAAGTCTAGTTTATAACTACTAATTTGCTAATAAGAAAGATACTAAATTACTAATTAATAATTACTATTAATTTATTATCTTTCCAATAAACAAAAGATACTAAATTATTAATTTACTAGATTTTATATATAGTTAAAAAAATGTAAAAATTCTGGTGAACTTAACGAGTCGAGCAACAAGTTTTTTAACGAGCAAGAGTCGAGCAAAATTTTATCAAGCTAAATGAGAAACGGGTCAAGCAACAATTTTTTTTAATGAGCACAGGTGGAACACTACTCAACTTGTGATAGACTTGCTCGATAATCACCCTAGTTGCTATATTTATGAGTTATCGAGTGGTTCAAGCTTTGAGATTATGGTAATGGAGTTAATTAAACAGCCACTTTCTACTATTGCAGTATTCAGAAGTCTTTGGAGATCGTCCAGCTTAAAAGTGACATAGAGAATGCTTGTGCCGAAAGCAAACAAATCCAGCAGGTAATTTTCCTTTTATCTTATAACAAGAACACAACATGGTATCATTAAGGAATATTAACACTAATTTTATCTGTGGACACTGAATTCAAATGTGGAAAAGCTTTCTTTGGAGCTTCAACATGTGCAGGAGGAGCTTAGTATTGTCAAAAGAGAACGAGATGATCTATCAGCCAAAATCGAACAGTCGGTCCCCGAAACTCACCTCTCAGACGAGCTCCAGGTTTTCAACTGAAAAAAGATCAACCATAAGAAAATCATCACTAACATTTATTTTCTAGAGATTGAGAAGTTTATTTTATACTTCGCAGAATCTTAAAAATCAACTTGACGACGTGTTAACAGAAAGGAATAGACTAAAGACACAAATCGAAGAGCTGCAAAGCCGTCTGGTTGGAGTGGAAAACGATAGAAAAGACTCCAGCGATGCGGTTGGTTGCTAAAAAAGGTCATTTTTTAGTTGGCATCTAGCTAGGTTGAGCATTATCTAATATCATGTGAAATTCTTTTGGCAGTTAATGGAGGCTAAAGTTCAGGTTGAGGAACTGAGTAGCAGATTATCCTTTCTGGAAGTCAAAATGCACAATGTAAGTAACTAGCCAAATTGCACACTGAATTTGTTTTGAAATGTGTGTTTACTAGGGCATAATGCCAAAATTAGCCTCAACATTTTTCCAACTGGTCATTTTGGCCCCTAATTTTTTTCCAGAGCATTTTAACTCTCAAAGTTTTAATTTTTGGTCAAAATGACCCTTGCTGGATGAAAATCATTAATTGACTGACAGTCAATGCATGTTGTGGACGTGACATTTCCAAATGTGCTAAACTGTTGTGTAACATGCCACGTTACTCAAGATGATGATGTGGTATGAGCCATGTCACCCAAAGTGATTATGTGACATGTTAGCAATTTAACACGTGTGAAAATATCACGTCAGCAATATACACTGACCGTTAATCAGTTGATGATTTTCATCGAACAAGGATTATTTTGACCAAAAATTAAAATGTGGAGGCTAATTTAGGCATTATGCCTACTAGTTCCAGAAGAATCCACGTGCCGATTTTAATAGATCAGTATGGAGAAACAGTAAAAATGAATCTGGGATGGGAGCTTTCCGCTAAGAAAATGATTTTCTCAAATTTTTTGAGGATTCAATTTTACAATTCATGAAGTTTAGACATGTTTCCATTACAATTCTGCATTTTAACCATCCCCATTCCTCAAATATGCTTCTGATATCTGAATGTTAGCTAGCTAAAGTATGTTGGAACATTGATTTCATATTTACATTGAAATGATGATTCTAAACACCAACTATCATCACATTTCATTCATCCACTGCTCTTCTCATCCTTTCAATCAAGTAAACTGAATCGAGTATTGTTTAAAATTGCTTTCATGCTTCTATTGAACTGGCATTTACGCATATGCATTCTGCGTTTATGATAGGATCATGTCAACAATGGCAAAGACATAGCAAAACTCAGAATGAGGCTCCGAGGAACGCAAGCACAGTTAGATGGCTTCCGATATCGATACAGAAAGGCCATCAATGAGTCGGACATCATGAATCGGAACTTCGAGGAAGCTTCGGCGAACTTGAAGGAACGATTATCATCAAAGGCAATCGAGGTGCTCAATCTGAAGAAGCAGCTTGCGGCTGTAGGGGCTAGACAATGATCCAATCATCACTTCCGTATGATTATTACTATCTGTAATTATTAAATGTAAAATACTATTGCATTATTATGAATACGAGTAATTTATGAGAACTGAATCAAAATCAAAGTTATTTGCAAACTATGATTATTTCATTAACTTCGTATGTGTTTCTATTTTGATCACTCAACTAATTATTAAGAATTTGTGTTAAAAATGAATTTCAAAAGTTGAGTGATAAAATTGGAAAATTATAAAGCTAGGTAAACAAAATAGAAACACTATAAAAGTTGAGTGATTAAATGTGTAGTTTACTCTTAAAAACGAATTGGATGGTATATAGTACAATTTGAAGTGATAAAATAGATGAAAAATGTTTTGAGGTACCTGGTTATTATTTTTTTGAGTTAATTTGAGGTATGTAAAATTTAGTATTTATTTAAAGATTATTTTTAATTTTTTGATATTGAACGCTTACACCTTTAATATTTTATATATTTGAATTTGAATTTTCAAGAAATAATAATAATTACTCTACTATAGAGATCACTTAGTTTGTGCTTAAAATTTTAATTTTATTAATAAAAAAATAAAATTTTAATTATAGAACTGGATGCCACTTTTAAGGGGCACGAGTTCAATTCGTCCTGGCACGCTTTGCCTCCAATTGACCATTCTTCGTCAACGGTCCTTAAAATATCATCATTTCTACAATTTGGTCCTCTAAGTCTCTAAGCCCATTTCTAGGGGTGCTTAATGAGTTGAGCAGTTCGAACTCGACACGGTCAAAACTCGATAAAAGCTCGAATCGGGTTGACTCGACTTGAGATCTTAACGAGCTGAATTGAGTAAAGTCCAACTCGACTAGAAAAATTCACGAATAGCTCTTTAATTTTTTAATAATTTTTTATTAGTTATTTTAAAAATTTATTTCATTAAAAAATTACTAATTTACTAGTAGATAATAACAACATAATAAATGGTTAATCTATTAATTTATAGTATTAGTAGATTTTACATATAGTTAAAAAATAAGATAAAAATTACAGTGAACTTAACGAGGAACTAGTTGAGCAATGGGCTTAACGAGCACGAGTCGAGCAACAAGTTTTTTTTAACGAGTACGAGTCAAGCAGAATTTTAACGAACAACGAGTCGAGTCGAATAACAAAACTTTTTAACAGGCACGAGTCGAGCAATGTTCAACTCATGATCGACTTGCTTGATAAGTGCTCCTACCCATTCCATCATCATTCTATGAATGGCATCCGCCAGGCACGTGGCCTCATAGGTAATGCAAGAGCAAGTAAGCGAAAAGCCAACTTCAGCAACATGCATGGCATTCACCACATGAGCAACCCATAAGCAAACAAGTGGAAAAAAATCAATTGTAAAAAGGGTTAATATAAAACCCAAGTGAACGGTACCAAGAAAGGGAGGTCCCCACTTTTCGAAGGAAAAAACGTTGTAAGCATTGGCTTCCCCTCCTCGGTTTTACACAGATAATCAATACCAATAAAAAAAAAAAAAAGAAGCGTTGAAACCGAGCTTAGAATGGTTACCTTAGAAGGTTAGCCTCTATGGTAGTCTCTTCGACTATTTGTGTCGTTCGGGATCTCACTATCGGGAGGGAAAGAATCTACCTTTAGGTCGTCGGAAATCCATGACTTTCTCTCTGACAATAATTTAATTGTTGATATTTAAGGGAATGGATGACGTGACAGTTAAAAACAAAGGTATAATTATTGGGTTGGTCCTTAATATTTACACGTAAAGGCAAGTGCAATGCTTGTGGTACAAGTTTTAGGACCGAATTGGCACACACATGGAAGGATTGTGCACTTGCTTTGCATATGAAATGCAGTTGCTTGGCATAAATGCGATGAACATTCTTTTGACATTTGCTTATCAAGATTCTGATTACTATCTGCTACGACATCATTGTGATATATATGAAGAAGAAAAAGATTTACAATTATATGAATCTCGAATGTGTTATTGGAGGGTACCAATTTATCAAGGCCGGAAGTACATACACACACGAAGATCATCCACATCCTCTCGCTTTCGTCGAGAAGATTTATCACTACCCGCCATGCAAATCAAATCGAGAATCAGTGCATCAATAGAACCAAAAACAACATTGTATTAAATACAACTGATCATAAAAACACTAGTCGATATTATTTTCTTCAACCAAAAAATTTAGTATCAATGGACCATTCAATCAAAGGCTAAATATGATGCTAGAAATATCACATTGCAGCAATGCATGTGTAGTACAACTTATTCCATTTACCGTCTAATATGAATTCAGATCTATAGAATCGAATGACATGATCCAACTACGGATAATAAGCATACCTCTTCCTGCACCAAGAACAATAACAACAGCCAACAACGAGGCCGAGTCTGGAAGAAGCGGGTTTTATCACGTCTGTTTGCCTTCACTATCATCCAAAATACCAACCAAACATTTTTCCAGCAAGAATTCAAAGTTCACCCAAGCATGGTATTTGTCTTGACACAGGTTAAGGATGTATAATTTTAAAAGTTACAACACGAGGAGAATAACAGCACGTACTTTCACCATTTTTATAAAAAGATAGACGTATATCTGACATCGATTATAAGACTGTCCTATATCTTAAGCTAGGCTTTCAAGCATCTCCACTAAGGGTATCTAATCTTAGTCTAATGTTATGCAAACATTATTTCAACTGAAGAACATGTTAAAATCAGCATTACCTCGACCTCAACCACACATAGATTTTATTAAAGGATACTGAATAAAGATGTGGAATCTTTTCCCACTGCCTTCATGAGCATATCAACACCTGAGAAAAATAATATGGTCAAAATAGTTTAATAGACTTTTCTAGACAAAATATATATATTATTACACTACAAAATTCATAGACAAAACTAATATAGGAAAATAAAAATTGCCTGGTTACATCTAAGCTCAATGATTCCACCATAAATAATAATGTCGTCAAATTCTATGCTTGGCTAGAAACTATGAGGTAACGGATTCAAAGTTAAGGGGAAAATGAAAAGTCGTGAACAAACCTCCAGGGTGAAACTTCATGTATGGAAATATATTGTACACACGTCCTTTCAGAACAGTCCACATGGAACCATCTTTTTGATTTTGCTTAACTTCACTCATTGAAATAAGCCTCTTATTTGACTGCCCTTTCAATCCTGAAACACATGATTTACATTGAAATATAGAAGAGAAATGCAGTTAGTGTTACCATTTGAGGTCATTGGGGGGAGGGAGTCCTAGAGGCGATTTCACATCATACCTGCAAGGTCAGGATGTGTTCGAGTAAGCTTAAACCAGTCCATTTGACTATAACCCTTCTCGAAAGGAACCTTGGTCCGAGGTGCAGGCTTTCTAGTAGAATTCTTTGGCTTTTCTTCATTCTTGGCTGGAGTACCCGAATCTCCGGATGCTACTTCTCTTGATGATTCACCCGATGATTTCAAATGTGAAGCATCCGTAACAGTGAAACTCAAAGAACCAACATTAACCTGATGTGGCTGTTTATCTTTCCAGGGAAAACCACCATCCTTATTATCGTCACTGCAGTTTGACGATTCGTCTTTAATGGCAATACTACCAACATCAGCTGCTAGATTATTCTCCTCCACACCATTTTGATCGGTCAGTGACCCAACCTAAACCAAAAACCATAAATTTAACTATTCTTACAATAAAATAAAAACATCATTACAAAGAGCAATACTTCTTCTTGATAAACTAAGTTCATACACGCAGCGAAAAGATATAATGCAAGGTCATGAAAACTATAGAACTTTAACTTACCTGACAAAAGGTAAAATCATTATCATTGTTGTTTTTCTCCATGATATGAAGAAAAAAGATTCAAAATTTACAAAATCAAGTCAGGCAACAACTTCTCTGATAAAATTACAGCAGCTCTTTACACCATCTGCAATTACACAAACACAATCAGAGAGACAATAAAAGAATGCCATCAATCAAGGAAATAAGCTCAAATTACAAAAAAAAAAAAAACTTTACGCTAATACCAAGGTTGAGTGAACGATTCAATACTCTTTACTTGGAACTCCAAATTTCAAGCTTAAATTTCATTAAAACAATAGCCATACACTTAACTTTGCTTCCAAATTCAAATACCAGTTTCTTTGTAATGCAACTTGGATTCCTATTCTTAATTTAAACAACAAACTATCTGATCCACAGAAGCTGGATTTTGAGATGCTGTCATCACATCTCATTAATTGATATTTGGCTAAATCCCCATAAGATATACTTTTCATAGATTATTTCATAGGTTCATTTTCATTTTTTCATTTAACTTGTGTGTGCTGGCGTTACTGGTTGGGGGCAAAGGCCTCAGATTACCTTACGACCACTTCTTTCAGGGGCTGCTGATATGGGATGTATTAATTTTAGGGCAAACTATATCAAATATCATCCAACTTTGAACCATGACTTATTTATACCATCAAACTTCTAATTTTAGCACTAATGTTATGTTTTACATCCAATTATAACACTGTCGTTAGTGATTTAACAGGACAATGACATGGCAACTGTGTGTCGTGAAAGTGATGACGTGGACGATTTCATAAACTCATTTCACTCTAATTTTAGCTTCTCTAAAGTGATACAATTACAGAAGCTCTTTAACACCATCTGCAATTACACAATCAGAGAGAAATAAACACAAATTGCATACAAAAACAAAACTTTACGCTAAACCCAAATTTCAGGCTTAAATTTCATTAGAAGAATAGTCATACACGTAGCTTTTCTTCCAAACATTCAAAAACCAGTTTCTAAGTAAAGGAAACTGGCTCAAGAAACTCAGCCGCTGCAACTTGGATTCCGATTCTTAATTTACAACTATAAACTAATCCATTCAAAGACACTGCATTTTGAGATGCTGTCATCTCATCTCATTAATTCATATTCTAAAATCAGATTAAAAGAAAATCTAAAAGGCAAAAGAAAGAGAGAAGGCGATCAAAGATTATATAATTAGAATCAACAAAATAATCAAGCCACCCAATGGGATAGATTTCAAGTTCTTCAAATACGGATTTAACATATAGAAAACAGAAGGTGAAGAATTTACGTACCCAATTGAGTTTTTGCGGCGACTAGGAAACAGTAACGAAAATCCGACAATAAACTAATCAAATACGTGATTTTTAGGGGAAAATAAACTAATCGAAAATACGAAGAAGAGGTTTCGAGGAAATAATAGATGGAAAATTGGAGCAATTCTGGGGATGGGGGCGGCGTAGACGGCGGCTGGAATTGGGATTGGACAGGAAAAGATCATTTTTAAAAGGGCTAAATGTAGGGTAAACTATCCCATTAGTCACTAAATAATAGGATTATTCCAATTTTGGTCACAAAGCTATAAATCTTATTGATTTTGTCACCAATACTGCCTTCTCTCCTACATAACGCCACCAGTCCATTTCCAACACCGCATCTTCTCTAGCCTTACCATCGAACCCGTTATACGACCATGGACTCAATCACCAATAGGATGGCAAACCACGAGGCAGTACATATATATCTTCCCTCATTTTATATTGATCTAATATTTTGTATTCACCATTTATCCATCATCTATTAAGAAAATTTTTAAATCTTCACTCGTCCATGTTATATTCTCAAATTCATGTCACGCTTGTTACTCAACTGGTTATCCACCACATATCTCGTATTCACCTGTATTTGTCTATATTCGTATGACAACTTCACAGATTATACAAGTGATGATCTTCAATTCTAAAAAAAATTATATTATAACATTTGATTAAATTAAAAGTTATGTCTTATAAAATCTTAAGATTTATAGAATAATATCTAAAATTATACCAAATTCATAATGATCCAAATTAATATGGTGGGTAATTAGTGGGTGAAAAATGACTTATCATCTGATGTTTCGTAAGTCATTTAACGAACTTATCACTTCAAAGCATAAATATTCAAACATTATTACTTTATATGTAATGTTAATATACTAATTTAATATCATTTTAATAAAATTATTAATTATTGAATTATATTTATTGATAATTTTAATAATATGATATTATATTTTATTGTTATAATCATATTATTATAATATATAATATTATACTTTTATTTTAATGATATATGATAATTATTAATAAAATTAATATTATTTATTAATTTTGTAAAAATAATATTATTAAATTATTTAATATATACTCTTTAAAATATAATGTAATATTCTTATTTTAATATTTTAATATTATAATTTTTAATATTTTAATAATATTATTTTAATAAATAATTAATATAATTTATAATAATTTTATTTTAATAGAATATAATTTTCGTAATATTTTTATTTATAAAATTGTAGATATAATATTTTAATAATAATATTGATATAAATAATATTTAAATAAATTATTCTAATATTTTAAAAATAATATTATTATTTTGTTAATAAATAATATTATTCATTGTATTGATGTTTATAATAAAGAATTTAAAAAAATTATCAACCAGTGGAAAATAAATTACACAACATCATCCAAACATCGTAAAATGATTTTCAAAAAATATTTTTAGGAAATATAATTCATTTTACGGAATTCATTTTCTGGATTTTGTTTTTTTTAAACAAACGAACATTTAATGATTGAATACAAAATTAATAAATTTATATACAAGTTCTTCATCGTTTATTTATATATGATTATACATTAAATATTTTTATAAATATATATTTTTAAACAAACTATATTGTTCACCTATATCATGTGTGTGATATTACCTTTGTTTTATTATTATTAGAGACATAAATTAGATGAGATAGATCATGAGTTATTCGAGATTGATTCAGTCAAAGTTCGATAAATACTCGATTTGAATGGAATCGACTCGAGCTCATAACGAGCCAAAATGAGCTACTTGATACTCGACTCGAAAAGCTCGCGAGCAGTTCGAAAAAAATAAATTATTAATAATATTAACATTTTCATGTATTTAATGTTCAAGTTCGAGTTTGAGTTTGAAGTTTCAATCGAATTAAGTTTAAGATTTTTTTATTTCGAGTTTTTTCGAGCTTTTACGAGCATCAGTTCATGGTTTTGAGTTCGAGTCGAGCTTGAAAATTTTAGACTCTCGAGTTTTTGAGTCGAATCGAGTCAACTTCATTTTAGAGTTTTCGAATCAAGTCAAACTCGAGTATTACGGTACTCGACTCGACTCGTTTACAGCCCTAACTATTATTATGTGTTCTTGTTGCCATTGTCATACTATGAATTGAGAGAACACATGATATTATAGGATTAAAATCTTAGTTAAATAGAGATATTATAAGTAAGTCCATAAGTTAATGTTGTACTAATAAGAGATATCATTTTGGTCTCAGTTAAATAATAAATTAAATACTAATAATTAAAAGTTAGGACTTAAAAAATAAAATTAATATCACTAACAAACTGATGAAGATTTTAATATTCAATGTTCAAGTTGTGAGGATCAACTTGAAGTTTTAATATTATAATATGATATAAATTATTCCATTTCCATGTGAGCCCTCTAATTTTAAAATATTTTGAGTCTGCCTGGAAGTAGCATTACAAGAATAGTTGGAGCCAAGCATTGACAGAAAAAAATTTATCGGAAAGGGAACATGGCGGAGCTTCACCACATGAGCCACCACAACCACCCTTTAATCTTCACCGGAGACTCCACCGATCCAAGTGACGCCAGTTACGACTGCTCTGGCTGTGCCGAAGTGGTGTCGAGTCCGAGCTATAGTTGCGCGGAATGCGGCTTTTACCTCCACAAGAGATGCGCGGAGGCACCGGAGGAGATTCGTCACCCCACACACCGCGACCACCCCCTTCTCCTTCTTCCGACGTCGGAGTATCGGAAAGGAGAAGTCGATTGCGACTTATGCAACGAAAAGGTTAAGGGATTTGTTTATGGTTGTTCATCTTGTGAATTTTATATCGACTCGAATTGCGCTTTGCTTCCACACTACACTAATGTTGGAGACTTCGTCGAGATCAGCCATGTTGCCCACCAACATCCTTTGGTTCCCATTAATCCCATCGGATCTTTCGAGTGCGTTGGCTGTTTCGCCCCAATAACGAATCCTTCCTATGCTTGTTTCGATTGTAGAATGTTTGTCCATGAAAAATGTCTTGAACTAGCCCCTAAAATCAACCACCCTTGCCACCGTAAACACCAACTTGTGCTCGATCTCGATGCCGACGCCTCTGTTTGCAGCCTGTGCCGAAGCACTCGGAAGGGATTCTTTTATCGTTGTATCCCTTGCGGATTCAACATCCATGCCGGATGTGCCTGGCCACCGTCCATTATAGAAGATAAATCTCATCATGATCACCCGTTCTCTTTGTTGTTAAAACCGAACGATCCGTTCGATTGCGATGCATGTGGCAACCAGGGGAATCATGTGTCTTATATTTGTTCTACCTGCAACATTCAAGTTCATAAGGACTGCATCTCATTGTCACGCCACATTAGACTTACTCTCCATTCCCATCCCATTTCGCACCACTTTTCGCTCTGTATCGATCACAATAATTCTCGGACTCTGGATTGCAGAATCTGTTACAAGAAAATAAACACCGAGCACGGGAGTTTCTATTGTTCTAGGTCAGGCTGCGATTTCGTTATCCATGTCAAGTGTGTCTATGATAAGTGGGCATTGTATGGTGTGATTGAGGTAGAAAATCCAGACGAAGTCGAGCCATCTGATTGGTTGTATGAACTGAAGAGTTGCATCGTTCGTAAGATCAAGGAAATCAATGTCGGGGACGAAGTAATAGCTACGGAGATAGAACACGTTAGTCATTATCAGCACAGCTTGATACTCTCGGACGAGGTCAAGGATAATACATTTTGCAATGGGTGTGTGCAACCTATCCTATCATCATTTTACTATTGTGAACATTGTGATTTCTTTCTCGACAAGGCATGTGCCGAATTACCGAGAAAGTGTCGACCGTGGCATTATGCAAAGCCCTTCAGCATTGTCACGGATGGTGTTTTTCGGTGCAATCACTGTCGTTACGAGTGCAATGGTTTCTCTTACAAATCGGATGACGACGTCGATCGCATGTGCCTCAGATGTGCTAAAATACCTCACAGTTTCGAATATCAAGCGGATAAGCCATATTTCCTCTTCTTTGATGACAAGTATGAAGGCAAGTGCAATGGTTGTTGTGAAGATTCAAGGTACAATGAAGGGATGTTCCAATGTAAGGATTGCACATTTGCTTTGGATAGGAGATGTGTCACGCTACCACGCGACGCTCGTCACAAGTGCGATCAACATTCTTTGACACTTACTTATCGAGATCCCGATGACTATCCCCTACGATACTACTGCGACATCTGCGAAGAAGAAAGAGATCCACAGAAATTGTTCTATCATTGCGGAACTTGTGACAAAGCCATGCACTTCGAATGCGTCATCGGAAAGTACCAATTTATCATGGCTGGAAGCAAGTACACGTACAAGGATCATCCACATCCACTCACTTTCGTCAAGAAGATCTATTCCTACCCTCGATGCGTTATCTGTCAGAAGCCGTGTCAAGAGCTAGCCCTCGAGTGTCGAGACGACAGATGCAAGTATATTGTTCATTGGAGCTGCATAAAAATGGTTCTTGGTTATGTTGATACTGATGATGAATGATGTATGAAGCAGCTTATTAAACCACTTGATTAGCAAACTTGGTATGGGAAAACAGTGGTTTTGCTTTGTTTTGTTTTGTATTTTCCCTTGTCTTTGTATTATTTTTTATGGTATTAGCAAGCTGTAATGTTTGAGCATGTCCCTAGGGAATGCAATACAGAGGCTGATCGTTTGGCTAAAGTTGTTTTGGTTATAAATTTCAAACTCGTTGTAAGCTCTTTGTTTTTTAGTGGCATGCTTTTAGATTAGTTGTTCTAAAGACATCAATAGTAGGGGATCTTTGGACTCTGCATATATAGGGGTGACAATTTAATCCGAAATGGACGGGTTTTGATTGAACTTGATTTTTATAAAAAAATCGACTTCCAGTCAGGTCGGTTCGAATTTTTTAAGGGATTGAGGTCAGGTGGAGAGTGAAAAAACTTCACCCTGACCCGACCCGAGGATATAATGTAGTTTCTTTAAAATAATAATAATTAAGTTCTTATTTTATATCAAGTCGGGTCGGGTCGAACAGAATATATATATATATTCGAGTTGGGTCAGGTGAAATATATATAATTTTCAGACAAGGACAGGTTGGGATGGAGAATACATGTTTTTGGGTCGGGTAGAACTGACCAAAAATTCGACCCCACCCGACCTCTTGTCATCACCATTCATATCCAAACATTAGTCAATATATTTTAGGGTAAAGTACACAAATGGTCATTGATTATAGGGTATTACTTTATTAAGTCTATCGATTATTAAAAGTTACAAAATGTTTCTCCAACTATAGAGTGTTGCTTTGTTGACTCACTCAACTATTAAAAGTAACAAAATAGTCACTCGACTATTCATATGTTCCAAGCTCGCCACTTTTCGTTAAAAATTGGCGGTCGTCTGAGCTAGACATTAACATGATGATTAAGATATGAATATAATAGTCGTTTGAGATTCTAGGATCATATTTTATTATATCACAATCAGCAGGTTAACATAGAAAACGACGGGTTTGAAATATATGACTAGTCGAGTGACCATTTTGTAACTTTTAATAGTCGATTGACTCACCAAAGTAGCATATTATAGTCGGGAGACTATTCTAAAACTTTTAATAGTTGGGAGACTTAATAAAACAATACCCTATAACTAAAGGACCATCGGTATACTTTACCCTATATTTTAAATATACTCTACCTTAAATCTAAATTATTATTTATTTAAATAAGTATACAATTTGATCCATACGATACTATACTTACATTTCCGCTTATCATTTGACTGTTCACCCCCCCCCCCCCCAAAAATGATATTTAACAATTTTAGCATTTAAAGGAAGGGAAACCTTTTCTTTTGATGAATCTTAGCTACAAAGGGATAAACAATGTCAACCTAATAGATTTTAATACTTTTAAAATCATACATAACGCTTTGTTTTTATTTCATTTTAATACTCTGCCATTAAAAACTTAACGGACGACAACCCTCGTATGTATCATCCGTCAATCGATGAAGGCTAAACTTTCTAGCTCGCAACTTTTTTAACCCCTTTGAACATGATTCCGGCCTCCGTTTCACCGGAATACACTTCGATCTTTTCAAATCGATGATGGAATCTTCGATTTCTTCATATTTCGATCTTCGTCATCAACCGTTTGATGGGCCTGAAATTGGACTATATTATTCGAATCATCATTCTCGCGTGGTCCACCGTTCGGATTGATGGTTCGTTGACTGGAGATATGCGCCGCTAGCTCGTTCGTTAAGTTTTTAACGACGAAGTACTAAAGCGAAATAAAAACTAAACGTTGGGTATAATTCTGAAAAAAAATTAAAAGTTTAGGTAATAAAACAAACCAAACCTAATAATTTAGATACTAAATGTATAATTTACCCTAAAATACGTAATAATTTAAATTTTTTAAAGGACGATTATCCCCATCCAATCTCCTTTGATCTGGTGATCATCAAATTTATTAAAAAAAATGATATTTCTTATCTATACATTAACAAATCAAGCCTACATGAAATGGCCATCAAGGTGAAAGTTCGTTTTAATAAAGAGGAAGTTTATATTATAAGAGAAATAGTAAAGGATTATTCGACATCTAATACGTATTTAAATTGCATAAATCAAACGACTTCAATAGTTAAGAGACTCATTATCCTTTAAGGTCTTTGGTTTAAGCTTCGCATACACTAGAAATATGAATATTTATCGTTAAATGATTGAGAATTTTTGAATATATATTAACTTGTATATATCTCATATTTATAAAATAAGTACTAATTTAATTTAAAACGATATTTCTTATTGAAACATCAACGAATCTTGTCTACATGAAAAGGTTCATTTGTTCTTTATTTGAAGTTTGATGTAAGTTCGCTTTGAGTGGTATTCGTAGTAAAAAAATTATTGTTTTTTATTGAGACGGGATTGATATTCGTGGTAAAGGAATTGTTCTTATTGCTTGAGACGGGGGTTTGGTTTAAGTATTTATTCGTGGTAAAGGAATCTTGTCTCCATTCTTGTCTCTCATCAACTCACTGGTATAGAGAATTTCAGCGTTTGGAGTCGCTCGTTGAAGATTGCGCTTCTAGTAAAAAAACAAATTAGGTTTTGTTGATGGTTCTTGTAAACGTGAGGATTTTGAAGAATCTTTGCACTCACAATGGGATCGTTGCAACGCCATTGTACTCTCCTGGATTCTTAATACGGTTAGTAGGGAGTTATCTGCTGGTATAGTCTTTGCTTCCAGCGCTGCTCTGGTTTGGCAAGATCTTCATGAACGGTATGATAAGATTGATGGATCTCGGATTTTTTTCTACAACGAGAAATTGAGACGTTTGTTCAGGGCGATCTTTCTATTTCTTCTTATTTGACTAAGTTGAAGCTCTTATGGGACGAACACAGCGCTTTAGTTCCTTTCTCTACATGTACTTGTCCTGAATCACAACGCAATTTACAGCATATTCTTCAACAGAGGTTGTTTCAATTTTTGATGGGTCTTAATGATACTTGCTCCGCTATTCGAAGCAGTTCTTACTTCTTCAACCTCTGCCCTCAGTAAATCAAGCTTATTCGATGATATTGCAAGAAGAGTCTCACCGGATTCATCTCACCACGACTTCTTCATTGGCAGATTCTACATCTTTCTATTCTAATACCTCCATTGGATCTTGTCGACGATTCAATGGCGTTTGCGATCACTACAAAGTTAACGGGCATCAGAAAGATCAATGTTATCGCCTCATTGGTTTCCCTCATGATTTCAAATTTACAAAACGAAATGATTCTTCAGCAGCTTTCATTGATTCTTCCTCACAAGGTTCTGCCAGTGAGCCTACTTTGCCTTCACAAGGATCTGTTGCTACTCCTAGTTTCACTCAGGCTCAGTATCAGCAGATATTGAAACTTCTACACAAAGGCTCCCCTCAGGATGCTGCTGCTAATAATATGACAGGTATTGTTTCTTGTTGTTTGTCTGTCAATTATTCTTCTACTTGGATTTTGGACTCTGGTGCCACTGATCACATCTGTTCTGATTTTCATAATTTGATTGATCATGTTCCTTGTAGCTTGAATTCTCGGTTTGTGTACCTTCCTAATGGTAAATGAGCGTCTGTCACCCACACTGGCTCTTTTGCCTTAAGTCCTGGTTGTATCATTAAAAATGTGTTGTACGTTCCTTATTTCTATTTCACGATTAACTAAAGAATTACCTTATGTGAAATGAAAACTAAACGTTATATATGGTTTTGAAAAAATTGAAAGTTTAGGTATTAAAACGGACCACAATTGATAGTTTAAATACTTAACGTGTAATTTATCCGGTTTTATTTTGGTCTAATTTTGGTTTTAGTTCTTATACCATGTTGATATTTGAGGTTCAGTCACATCACTTTAACATAAATTGACTCCTATTGAGATATTATTAGTAGGTTCAAATGAAAACGAACCAAAACTTATAGTTATATACTAAATGCGTAGTTTACCCATTAAAGTGAAGCATTGACCAAATAAACCAGACAGAAAGGAGAGGTTTTTCTGTGTTCATGAAATACAAATGTTTCAAATTTTATTGAGTTTAGCAAGGAGGAAGACGGTGGCGGAGGTGACGGCGGGGATAAAGATATCGTCGTGGATTTTGAGGTTTGCCTGCCGCTTGAGCATCAAGGCAGTGATAGGCACCCCAAATAGGTACATTAAAATGTCTTTGGCTCCAATCCCTGAAAATCCACTCTCAATAAGCACTTCCTGCAGTATCTCTTGAAACTCATCCTTTGATAATTCTCCCTCCGCAGCATCCTTGTATCTCTGTACCACACACAACATTCGAATAACTCGATTCAGTTTGAAAATGTTTCAAATAAAGTTTGAAATATAAAATAGGACTTGAACAAATCGAATAATGAGTTCAGAGTTGCGTCTCACAACTCTACATGATATATTTATATCATATGAAAGAGATAAAAAATATATATGTATGTTGTATTTAGTTATAAAGAGCTGTTTGAATTAATTTTTTTTTGGATAATTAACATGTTTGAATTAAAATTAGTTAGTACCTTAACATTGTACATATTTGAGTTATTGCACCATATGCCTTTAAACTATGATTCTCTTTTTAAGTTGGTTCTTCAAATTTTAAATATTTCAATTTCATCTCTAAACTATGACTTTCATTATAAATAATCCTTAAACTTTTGAACATTTTATTTTCATCCCCAAACTATATCCTTTGTTCTAAATTGGTCCCAAAACTTGTTTCAACATTTCAATTTCATCCCAAACTATATGTATACACTAATCACATTCTCCGTTAATAAAATATTTAGACCATGCTGTACCAATATGTTTGAAAAAAATAAAACTTCAGGTTAAACTACAGTTAAAATTAATATATTTGGATAAATTTGGGGATGAAATTGAAATATTTAGAAGTTTGGGGACCAATTTAGAATGAGAGACATAGTTTAAGGATGAAATTGGAATGTCCAAAAGTTTAAGGATTAATTTAACATGGATACCATGGTTTGGGGATGAAATTAGAGTATTTAAAA